TTCTACATTTATAAATTTAAAGAAAAATTTCTACTCAAAAATTAAGAATGTTAAATTTTTATCAGTGCTCATTATTAATAATTATTATAGAAAAAAACACATTATTTATTTTTTAGTACTTACCCTTTTCAATGAAAACTTAACAAAACCACCGAAATTAACTAAAACATTACGTTTATGACGTTTACGAAAATGATTCATCATATTATTCACAACCAGGTCACAAAAATTCCTAAAATGTTTATCGTAATTTAGAATTCAATATTTGTTTTTCTTTCATGTTTCTTTCTGTTTTATTTGAACCACTGATTTACAAAACACCTTGAAAAGCGCACATTACTTTGAATACCGTCTCTTATCGCCACTTTACGAACTACTTTCAATTTAAGCATGTTTCACAACAATTTTAAATACGTATTTTGTTTTTTCGCTATTTTTTTCGATGTATTTTGACAGCCCGACCGTCGCGTGTCGGCCAAAGAAGTGCCACGTGTGAACTGGTCCTTTGAGCCGCGCCGTCGTGGCAGGCTTGCGTCGAACGACGATGTTGAGCAACGTTGCCGTAGTTACAACAATTTCAAATTCAAGAGATTCGAAGCAATCAAATTTGTATTAAATTTTAAAAATAAAACAGAGAAACATGAAAGGAAACAAACAAAACGAAAATGAATTGATTATTCGTCGGGCTGTTTTCGATATATTGAATTCTGAATTACGATAAACAATTTAGAAATTTCTTTTTTGTGACCTTATCAATAATCAATTCATTTGTGTTTTGTTTGTTTCCTTTCATGTTTTTCTGTTTTATTTTTAAAATTTAATAAGAATTTGATTGCTTCGAGTGTCTTGAATTTGAAATTGTTGAAACTACGGCAACCTCGCATGACGCAAGCACGCCGGCGCGACAAAGAAGCACTGGGCAGTTACCAACCAGTGATGCGTGGCTGTCTTGGCCAACGGATGGTTGGGCTGTTGACGGAATTGTCGAAATACATCGAAAAAATAGCGAAAAAGCAAAATACGTATTTAAAATTGTTGAGTGAAACATGTATTTTCTTAGATTGAAAGTAGTTCGTAAAGTGGCGGTAAGAGACAATAATTCTCAACATTTATTCATTCAGAAAGATATTCAAAGTAATGTGTAATGTGTGTTTTTCAAGGTGTTTTGTAAATCAGTGGTTCAAATTGTGATGAAGCCTATACGAAAATAATGTGTTAAGTTAAAAATGGGGACTGTTATTTAGCACGTACAAGTAAAGCAGCACAATGAAGTGTATTTTAGTTAAGTGTGTATCGAAAAAGAGAACTGTCGCAGTTACATCGATCTGTCATAAGTATCTTTTTTAATGTTGGGTAAGTTTTTTTAATTTAACTTTTAAACATTTAACTTTTAATTTATTTTATGTAATAATATCACAATCTTAAAAATGTAATGCATCTCTGCAAACTCCTCAGGTGTTGTGATTTTATGGCTTACTTGTAACATATACTTTCTTGTCCATATGGCAACACAGTGCGTAGATTAACTGGAAATCCGGGCTTGATCCGGGTAATTGGATGTAGTTGGCAATACCTGCCGGCGGTTCTCAAAATGTTGCGATTATTTTTTTAAATTTTCAAAGTTAAATAACTCAGTTATTTTCAATTTATTTTAAAAATGGTAAAGAGAAAATATGTTTATTTTGACCAGATCTACCACCTCTTAAAATATCTGCACTCATTTCTGGGACACCCTGTATAGATATTCTCAATTATATCTAGAACAGCGGATGTAGTGCTTGATTGGGTCTGTAAGGCGTACTATTGTTTATATATATTATATTGTTAGCTGATATATGATCTGAAATTCTGTTGTGTATTACTTTTTCTAATATTTTGTTGAGTGAAGAGAGTAATGAAATTGGTCTGTAGTTTTGTAGTTCATCTCGGTTTCCTTATTTATGTACTGGTATAAGGATGGTCTGCTTTAGGTATTCAGGATATACACCGGATATATACCGATATAGAAACCTTTATTTTAATGTTGTATTTTTCTATCCGTTTGTAGTACCTATCTTAGTTATCTTACAACTTATCGAAAAGGTGAAACTGTGTCCCGTAAAGTTTTTCACGTAGAATTCACTGGCATAACATGTTTTTCGCTGAAAGCTGCTATTTTCGAAATATGACTCAAACTATTTTTTTTAAATGAAACAATTTGTATATTTATTTTATTTGCCTTGTTATGAGCCTCCTAAAAACATAATAAATTCTATACTTCTTTCCATAAATAAGGTAAAAATAAGTATAGTAGAGATGTGTCGTTCGTGAATGATTCGTTCACAATGATCGAATCTTTAGAAAGACCCGTGATTGACTCGGTCACCTCACGTGACCCTATCAATCATATGACCCGAAACACAAAATCCTCTCCTGCGTGTCTTACTGAATTTGAACCTAAAACAACGATCGGATCATTGAAGATTAAAATGAAAAAACGAACCAAACGAACTCTTTTCACGCATCGCGTCGCGTTGCGTCGTTCGAATTAAACCCCGATCCGTTCAATGATCAATGCAAACATCCGAGCCGCATTTTAATATCTAATTTTCAGAAAATTTACGTCTTATATTGTTTTCACATTATTAGTTAATCAAGCTAGGCATCGCGTCATCGCGATCGCGATAATATTTCTTCATATAATGATTAAGATAAAATCATTCATGCATCATTTCATTCAGCGTTCCGAGTTTCGAGAATGTTCTGAATAAGTTACACTGAAACACAGTAAAGCGATCATTCATATGAACGAATCATGATGAACGGGTCATTTCAATGAATGACCTGGTGAGACACGGGTCACGGGAATGAACCGGGTCTTCCCATCTCTAAAGTATAGAGTATATTATATTTTTAGAAAGCTCATAACAAGGCAAATAAAATAAAGAAATAATATGCAAGGTATCTCATTTAAGAAAACATAAGTTTGTGTCGTATTTCACGAAAGACAGCTCCCAGTGACAAACTAGTTACGCCACTGAATTCTACGTGAAATACTCTGTGTGACCGAGATTTTACATTCTTGATTATCCGGTCAAATTAAACATTTCAATCTACCAAAATTCCCACAAAGCGGAATTTTGATAGCAACCTTGGGTTTACCATTATAAAGCGAAAAAAGTCCCCATCGATCCCACGTCTGCTAAAAAAGTGATTTAGTTAGTTTCCATTATAACTAGTTTTGCCTGAGGTCTAACTGAGGGTAACTCTAATTTCAGAATCGAAAGCGCTAACAAATAAGAAAATATACGTATTTTTGATATAATCTACTTAATAACTAAAAGTATCTAGATAAGCATCTATAAGCATGGCTAAAGGTAAAAAAACGTAATGACACTTACCGTCGAAATATCAATTCCGGGTTAGAATAGTCTACCTTTTTACAAACTATGCACTGGCGAACCATCGTAGATAGTTAAAAACTACTTTAAATAGTTTTCTTTGCAATAAACATTAATAATTATTAGAAAGTTGTTCAAAATCTACAAAAACTTTCAACTAACGCAGTAAACTCACAACCGCGCGCTGTTAAATATAAGTTGAATGAAAACAAATGAAAATGTCAAATGTCAGCGTAATTCCTACAGATTTCGACAATTTCGTAGTAAGGATGAATCCGCAGCTATGCCGCTAGTTGTCATTGTGATTTCCCTAATATAATTTAATTAGAAAACTAAAAATAATTTCAAAGGTATAATCGTTGGACAATCTATGTATATTAATTAAAGTTATATACCTATTCAAATATTTACTTTAACGTTTCTATAGGTACCCAAAAAACATTAATAACAATAATAACATTTGAAACTCGAACCGTATTCTATCACATACCGCGTAAATCTGTCATCATCGATTTTTGTGGAACACGGTTCATGATCGCGATAAAATGTAAACTGTTTTGTCTCCCTTTATTTAGATGTCTTTGGTATAATGTATAGAACATAACTCGATCGAAATTTTGAATCGCAATATAATAATAATAATCGCAAAGTATTAGGACCATTATTGTAGATAATTAAAGATTTATAATCTACAATTTTGGTCTGAACTACCTTTTTTTTTGAAAAAAACTTAGGTACCGTTTATAAGAAAAATCCAAAAAAATAAAATTTTGACCTTTGAGTTTGAATAACTTTTTTTAGCAGACGTGGGATCGATGGGGACTTTTTTCTTTTTCTTTACAATGGTAAACCCAAGATCTCTACCAAAATTCAGCTTTGTCGGAATTTTGGTTATTTGATCATTATTTTTATAGCTAAATTGACCGGACTATGAAAAGTTATAAGATATCCGAGATACATTCGTCCAGTATTTTAAGAACTAAGAGAGCTAGGACAAATATGTGTGGACTTATGTTTGTAAAACTATAACACCTGTCATGAATATCCCTTTTTCGGTTTCGGTAAACTATCCAGAGACAAATTTCTTTTAGAAAATGAAGCCTAATTTACCTTAAAATGAACTTTAGATTATTTGAATTAAGTCTGATATAGAAAAACATGTTTCTCATAAAAAATATTCTAATTTTATTTTATTATTTTATTATCTATACCAAATTCCATAACCTATAATGAAAGAGTCGCTGACTTGTTTAAATCCGGATCTATGTTTATGCTTATAGTTGCTGATTGATACATGGTTGCCAAATCAGCTAGTAAATTATTCGAAACTTAGATAATGTCTAGTTATAGCTCTAGCAATTAAAACATGCTGTGAGCGTGTTTTAACTGGGCTGGTTATATTTTTTTGTTGTTTATCTGTTTCATTAATATCTAGCTGTAGATTTAGGAAACAAAATAGGCTGTACGCTTTTTTTCTTATTTAAAAGTACTACTAAAATGGGTTATTTTTGATCAAAAAAAGAAAAATTCAAATATCGTGTGTCTGGATATTTTACCGGACCCCCCTTTTCCGGTAGATTTTTAAAAAATGCTTATTAAACACAGTCTGACTTGTTGCAGTCACCCTCATTCAAATTTTCACGCAAAGCTTCCTCTTCGTACTCGCTGAAACTCGAGCCACCGGGAAAGCAAAAGTTCAAGCAGAAGAGGAAACCGCTCAGCACACCGGCCTCGCCATCGAGGGCTTCCAGAGAGCCGCAATGCACTTGCATGACTGCAGAGCAGTACGCTAGGTTGCGGGCGCAAGATCCACGATATCGAGGTAAGTCTGGTTGTACGGTTTGTTTGGAAGGAAATTATAAAAAATCGAAATAAAAGACGATTTTAACCATCTGTAGTTACGAAATAAAGCAAAGGCAGACCTACCTGGATATGAAAAATAAATATGATTTTTATGTGTTGAATGAGAGAATGAGAGAACGGAGATGCGGCTTGCTATACCGCGCAAAAGTTGCCATAGGTGTTTACTAGCATAATAAAAAAAATTATCAAGTTCGGATAACATCGCGCAAAACGCCGAAAGTTTTAAAAAAACTACGACTTTGACAGTTTCTTTGTATTTTTTTTTCTTAACTTGAGGTTTGTATTTTTTAGCGCTATGGTGGTTAAACGTTAGTAATAGCACAGAATATCTAGCTACGCAACAGAAGCCTCGTTACATGTATAAAATTGTAGGTAGCAAAATGAGACAGGCTTCTAAAGCCTGTCTCCAATTCAGATATTTTGATGCGGTAGTTTCGCTACTACATAATAGAGGGCAATAAATTTAAAAGAAAACAGTTTTCTACAAACAAAATCTAAAAGAATTTTGTGCAGTGTTGCCATTGTGTAATTCATATCGTAATACTTCCTGATAAAGCCTACCTTCAAATTTGCTACATCATTTAAACATATTAAAATAGATCAGAGCTGTTTTTTTCAATTTGCCATGTTAGTTGGAATTAAATCTTATGAGATAAATTACAATCACTTCCTGACGTTTGATTGTATAATTGAATCCTGAATTTTCATTGTAATTCGGCGACAATATAATAAGTATTGTTCTACTGTATATGTATGTATTATGATACCACTTCCTGACGTTCGATTGTGTTCATACCAAGTTCATATTGTATAATCGGGAAAAAACGGCGTTAGCGATGGCTATGAAATGAATATCGCTGTCATTTTATATATAAATTTATATGGGAAATGTCATCGATCGTCCTTTTCCAGCCAATTGGACGCCGTTTTTTTCGGTATCATAAGGTATTTGATATATACTATTTTTCATGACATTACAATATTATGGTACCATGAAGCATATCAAGTGATACCATAATATAGTACCATATTACGATACATGGCGTTCGATTGGGCTTAAACTTGATATACTATATCTTCAGTGACATTGTAATATCATGGTACCATGGAGCATATAAAATGGTACCTTCTATAGTACCATATTTGATGACATAGCAATATTAGGTACATGGCGGCAATAGGGCTTAAACTTGGTATACTATATCTTCAGTGACATTGTAATATCATGGTACTATGGAGCATATAAAATGGTACCTTCTATAGTACCATATTTGATGACATAGCAATATTAGGTACATGGCGGCAATAGGGCTTAAACTTGGTATACTACGTATTTTCGGTGACATTGTAATATGATGGTACTATGATGCATATATAAAGGGGTACCTTAAAATAGTACCATATTTCAATACCATTTCCTGACGTTCGATTGAGCTCATATTTGATATATACTTGCGTATTTTTGATGACATTGCATTATTATGGTACCATGAAGCATATCAACTGGTACCATAATATAGTACCATATTATGTACATGGCGTTCGATTGGGCTTAAATTTGGGATACTACGTATCTTCGGTGATATTGTAATATTATGGTACCATGGAGCATAATAAGAGGTACCATATTACGATACCATTTCCTGGCGTTCGATTGGGCTTAAACTTAGTATACTACGTATCTTTGGTTACATTGTAATATGATGGTACTATGATGCATATAAAGTGGTACCTTAATATAGTACCATATTTCAATACCATTTCCTGGCGTTCGATTGAGCTCATATTTGATATATATTTGCGTATTTTTGATGACATTGCATTATTATGGTACCATGAAGCATATCAACTGGTACCATAATATAGTATATATTACGTACATGGCGTTCGATTGGACTTAAACTTGGGATACTACGTATTTTCGGTGACATTGTCATATGATGGTACTATGATGCATATAAAGTGGTACCTTAATATAGTACCATATTACGATACCATTTCCTGGCGTTCGATTGGGCTTAAACTTTCTATGCTACGTATTTTCGGTTACATTGTAATATGATTGTATTATGATGTATATAAAGTGGTACCGTAATTTAGTACCATATTACGATACCATTTCATGGCGTTCGATTGTTCTTAAATTTAGTATACTACGGATCTTCGGTGACAATGCAATATTATGGTACCTTAAAGCATATCAAGTGGTACCATAATATAGTACACTATTATATCATTTCCTGGAATTCGATTGGGCCCAAATTTGGTATACTTGCGTTTCTTTATAAAGATTTGTTTAATTAATAATTTTAATTTATTTTACGAATTTTAATTTATTGTTCGATGTCGTAACAGCAACTTTTATGCCGAACAAATATATTATTAATTGTACCTGTGTCACTTTTTAAAATCTACCTAGGTCTATATAAATAACGTGGCAAACGGAAGAAATTTGTTATTATAGTATTTTTTAGTCAGTTAACATTTTTTGTACTGCATTTTAATAAATTATTTCCATTATTATTAAACTTATATTTTATTACTAACGTTCGAGCATTAATAAATATCACTATCAATCGCCCTCTATATTATTAATTTTTAAGGTAATTAAAGGTATTTTCTTAGTTAACATTATAAGGTAGTGTATATTAAAAATGTATATGTTTTGTAATAATATACTTAAAACTATTTTAATAGCCAAAGGAATAACTAATATAAGTGTATCTGACAAGAAAAGAAGAATATAAAGAAACACATACTGGCATTATACACAGTAAAAAGAATGGGATGCCAATTCAAGTCTTTTTGAATCTGGCAACTGTGCATATTTAGCCGAGCTACAAGGCAGTCGACGAGCCGTCGATCCAAAACCGAAAGTTCAAAATTTCTAATTATATTCTGATTATGATATTGTCGCGCCATCTAGTATTCTATTTGTGCAATTTTAGCTCTTTCATTTCGAGTATTTTTCTGTTGCGTAGCTAGATATTCTGTGGTAATAGTAATGAGTTGCCTGCAGAAAAAATATTGCCTCTTTTAAACCATATCTTCCGATCGCGCAAAGCGTCTAAATATTTGCAAAAGATGCAAATGTGCAGCTCTTCGCTTGCTTGGAAAATAAGTGGTGAGTGGGCTACACTTCGAGTTCCGTCCACACCCTTCCCTCCATCTAACCATTAAGAGTGTATGCCGATTTATTCCGACCTTTCCAATGTCACTTTGTAGTCTGCGTTACTGCTAAATTGCTTCTCTCGATTTGAGTGTTGCCCTAATGTATCGATTTGAGTGTTGCCCTAATCCCTTCATTGCGGTCCACAAACCTTAAGAGAAGCTTCGGTAACTAGCTTTGCGCAACGCTCCACAGTTTGCTTGTGACATGGGAACAATCCGGGATTTCACCCGATTGTATGAAGCTTTTGATTTCTTCATCACTTATCCCACGGAGACGAGGCGGTGGCGATATTTCTGTAGTGCTCCAGTCTAATCATTTCCGTGTAATCAAATGCATCAAATCTAACTGAAGGAGTGTGAAAATTCCTAATGCGTTTTCCAGGCAAAGCAGACTGTCTGGGTTTAGTACTCTCGTAGAAAGAATTTCGTTCGATTACCGGGAATACCACTGCCTTCAGTTCATCACTCAGGTATCTAGCCGAATAACTAACTAACCCCGGCCCAATCTCCCACGCGAGATGGCTCACCTGCCCAAATAGAGTCCTTCGGCTATATGTTAGAGTTGTAAGTCCTTCTAATACCTTGATAATCATCGCTATTTTTATTTTGAACTCATATACGCCGTTGTGGTTCAAAATTAAGTGTGACAACCGAATTTCAAACGGACCCATTCATGTGTACCGGGCAATAGAAACATCTAGATATCTGAGTGATGAATTGAAGGCAGTGGTATTCCCGGTAATCGAACGAAATTCTTTCTATGCCCATCCTGAAAACATTTTAATAGCCATGCTATTTGATGAGAGGAGGCAGAATAGAAAGTTAGGGCCCAGGAGAGTACTAAAGGTCAGACAGTCTGCTTTGCCTGGAAAAGGCATTAAGAACTTTCACACGCCTTCACTTAAATTTGACGCATTTGATTACACGGAAATGATAGATTGTAGCACTAGAAAAATATCGCCACCACCTCTTCTACGTGGAATAAGTGATGAAGAACTCAAAAGCTTCATACAATCGGGTGAGACCCCGGATTGTTCCCATGTCACACGCAAGATGTGGAGCATTGCGTGAAGCTAGTTACCAAAGCTTCTCTTAAGGTATGCGGGCCGCAGTCAAGGGATGGATACATTAGGGCAACACTCAAATCGAGAGAAGCAATTGACGAATTCAGCAGTAACGCAGACTACAAAGTGACATTGGAAAGGTCGGAATAAATCGGCATACACTCTGGAATGGTTGGATGGAGGGAAGGGTGTGGATGGAACTCGAAGTGTAGCCACCTCCTCATGGTGAATTCTGGGTTGTTTAGATAATACTTTAAAATTAATTAGATTATTTTCTAAGCAAGCAAAGAGCTGCACATTTGCATGTGTAAACTTACGGAAAAAAAGCAAATTTTGCATTTTTTGCAAATATTTAGACGCTTTGTGCGATCGGAAGATATGGTTTAAAAGAGGCAATATTTTTTCTGCAGGCAACTCAATATTATTACTAACGTTTAAGCACCATAGCGCTAAAAAATACAAACCTCAAGTTAAGATAAAAAAAAAATTGAAAAAAAACTGTAAAAGTCGTATTTTTTTGAAAACTTCCGGCGGTTTGCGCGATCGGAAGATGTTATCCGAATTTGATATTTTTATTTATTATGCTAGTATACACCCAAGGCAATTTTTGCGCGGTATAGCAAGCCGAAATTTCATTTTTGAGATTTTTCGATCCATCCTACTGTATATACTCTCGTAGTATTTGACATATCAAAAGTGGGGAACTCGTCATCACCCTGTAGAGATAAAAATAGTATTTTTATTGATAACATTTGTACATTTTAAACGCTTACAAAGGCACTACTTTTTAGGGTCTTCAACTTTACCAAGAAGCACCAGAGTTTCCGATACCGAAGGTAGGACCGAAAAAATAGCTGCTGCCACTTCATCTACTAGTCTTTACGATAATGTTACCAATACACAGGGTGGAATTACACAGGGTAAATAAATAATATTTTGGTTAAAAATAGTTAGGAACTATTTATTTTATTTGGTTACTGAATAGAAATTTAAGACATCTAGTGTGCTGTTCAAATTTCTTAAACACTGTCTGTGATAAATTTAGTAGCTTTCTTTACTGTTTCTCTGAGCATGGACAAGCCCCAGATGCATCTTTCGGAAAACGAGTCACGTATACAAACTATCCAATCGTCTTATTATTTTGATAAAAAATCATACAAGATTGCCTCACCTTCGTAATCAGATGGAGCTAAAAGCAAAGTATGGTTCTATCTAAAATAGAAATAGTACACAAAAAAGTAAAAAGGCTCCTACAAACAAGTGTGCTAACTTCTGCATTAAGTTAATCAGACTGAAGGAAACATCCACGCGACGATGGGTTTTGGTGATTTATCCCCATCATCAGGTCGACTCTGTTGGATTCTTTGATCTGACAAACAAAATGCAGAAATCGCACTTGAGTACCAAAAGTTGACGAGATCTAGACTCGCCATCTAGCGATAATCTAGAATAGAAATAAAGTATCGTACCTATCAGAGAGAAAAAATATAATCCAAGCCAAGGGGTAACAAAAAACTGTGATGGTAAATAGCGGTGTACCATAGGGATCAGTCTTGGGACCTATAGTCTGGAACGTACTTTATGATGATCTACTGAGGATAGAAATGCCAGATAAAACAGTTCTAGTCGCTTTCGCAGACGACCTTGCCATTGCTGCATGTACAAGTGATGAAGCTGTACTGATGAACACCGTCAACTTGGCAATCCAGCGAGTTGTAAATTGAATGGAGGATAATAAACTCACCGTAGCTTCATATAAAATAGAAGCAGTATTTTGACCAAAAAAAAGAAAAATATCCCCGGTGCATTTTTAACACCAGGAGCTGTAATTAATCCAAGTAACTATTTGAAATACTTAGGAGTGTGGCTAGATACCAAATTGAATTTGAAGGCTGAGAAAATTGTTACCGCTTTAGCTTTACTCATGCCAAACGTGGGAGGAACTAGAGCATCCAAAAGGAGAGTGCTTACTAGTGTGGTACACTCGCAGCTATTGTATGGTGCACCGGTATGGCAAAAAGTAACTAACAATCAAAAACTTACACAAAGAATACGCAGAATATAACGTATCATGGCTATTAGAGCTGCAAAACGGTATCTGGAGAGGCTATTGGGGTTATATCTGAAATAGCATTTATTGAACTGCTCATACAGGAACGATATGATAGATACCATGGGATGGATTAGGATCTAGCGAGGACAAAACTTCTTAAACAATGGCAGGATAAATAGAATACCGGAATATATGGCAGATGGACATACAAGTTAATACCCGACATTCGTGGATGTTTTAAAAAATATTTGTATGATCGTTGTAGGGTTGATAGTGCATAATGCACCTACTGCGGTCAGGTTGATGATGTTCAGCATACATTGTTTGCGTGTGAAAGATGGCAGGGCTTTAGGGAACAATTCCGTAAGGACTTCGACTTACCCACATTTATGATATACTTAGTTGAAGGGGAAGAACAATGGACGTTAATATATCGGATAGTCCGAAATATCATAAACTGTAAAGAGAGCGAAGAGAGATAAAGAGCAACCCTTTGCACTGAAGCAATGCGAGAGCGGATTCCAGTGTAAAGTGGTAGTTGGAGGAGGGGTTTTTTAGCCGGTAGGAATCCGGCACTACCCAACTTAGGGAGTCTTATGCAAGATTTTTTTCCCTCCTCAACGAAAAAAAAAGAATAGAAGTAAGATAAAAACTCTTTATTGGGAATTTTTGTTGGATTAGTAATGAATTATAATGTAAAAATATGAAAAACATGTTTTATGAAATTTTCTGGTGTAGGTAACGCCTTTTTCCTACATTATATGCACGCCACTGCTTATTATTTAGATTAAGTGTGAACTTAAGTATGCAGAGTAAATCATAAAAACTTACTCGTTGATAGGTATATAAATTAATTTTCTTTTCTCACTTTAGTTTAGGATATTAAAGTAACACTTCCTGGGCTTTAATAAAGTTTATTTATAAATGCAATATTGCCATTACTTGGTATTAAAATACGTTGAGCTTAAAATCACAAAGTAACGAAAACCTGTTGTTTATTGGAGCAAATTGTAGTTGTGTTAAACAAAAAGCTATTATAATTATAGTTATTAACGTAATAAGGCCGATAAACAACAAATAACGGCCGGGCTGAAGTTTGTGATCCGAGGCGATAGCCGAGGATCATAAGCAGCCAAGGCCGTTATTTGTTATCGGCCGTGTTGCGTTCTAGATTTTTCGTCATACTGCAGATTTTTTAGAGCAATAAACACTACTATTTAATAACAAATTTTATTGAACAATAACACAAGTAAGGATAAAAAATACATAATGTCTTATACTAAAATTCATTTTTCATGATAATGAACATGGAAATTAAAAGTGCACTTGTTGTTCTTAGAAATCTGTAATCCTTCCCAGGGATTTACAGATTTTATAGAAGAAGATGATGCTACTGAAGAATGGCAAATATTTGTATCCACTAAAGACACATTATTTTTGGAGCTATCATGAAAAAGTTGATTTGTTATTTTCATTCTTTTGGAAACTGATTTTTCTATGTAAGTTTCTGCCACTGTTGAAGACTCCCATCCTCCTAGCTCCTTTAGCGATAGTAAATCACCACCATTTTCGGCGAGCATGGTTGCTGATGATCTACGAAATGAATGCCCTGTATAACGTTCTGGATTCTCCAAGTTCAAAATTTTGCAATTTTCTGCGGTACGCTCCCGATGGTATGTATACCGACGATTTGCTTAACACACTTGCCTTTCTTGTAACCAATGAAAATTTTGGATTGTCAAAGTTACGAGGACGCAGGTTGATGTATTTTTTGTATAAACCATAGGCATCAAACGGAAGGCCCGTTTTTGGAATAAGAAATTTCCTATCTTTCTTATTTTTAGTATTTCTTAATGAGACAAGAATATTTTTCTCCGAATCTTCGAAATCATCAACTGTGAGTGACCAAAGCTCGCTGCGCCTACAAGCTCCAAGAATACCAAGCACCAATACAATTTTTTCGAGTAACCAGGTGTAATCATCGGCATCCAGTAGAAAATTATTTATGTCATTCTCCGACAGAACTTTGGCTTTTTTGGTGAATAACCTTCGTTTTTGCGCCTCAGAAACATGAACAGTTTACCAAATCTATGAACAAATATAATTTAGATGAGTATGATTAAATATCGAAGAATATAATGGCTTTTTACCTTGATATGTCGATGTTTTCATATACTCAACGCAAGCTTCAGCATGGATATCTTTGTCCACAGTGATGTAGGAGAATACATTTCAGACATTCTTTTAGCATAATCCAGCAATACCGCTTCATTTACGCTGTTTATACTTCTATCCTGCCACCACTTCAAAAAATTGTCATATTCCTGCTGATATCTCTCTGGTTATAGTCGGAAGTAAATTTTGAGTAGCCGCAGCCGCTTCCTCCTGTATTTCCAACGGAATTTCTCGCGACATCTCGCTATGGTCTATTTTCCCAATTTTTGAAAAGTCCAACTGACAATAAATAGTCATTGTTGCAGGTGACAGACGTTACGATTACCTTAGAAACTTAACGGCCGCCGGCCGTTATGATAACGTCCGGCGGACGTTATATGCATCTTTTCCATTCTGATTTTGCTTATGTTATAATAATATAACAATATAGTATGACGAAAAAATCATTTATTAATTTTGAATTATGCTACTTCATCGTATACTCCTTTTTACTTAAACAAATTTTTGATGATATTACAATAAACAATAACAGCACACAGCTTTTCTTATAAACTTTTGTTATAAATTTATTAAAGGAGATTGGTTAGTTTATACATATACTAAATAACGAGTTGATTTACTATGAATTCTTAGAAGTTTTATGATCATTATTTTTCAAATAATGTAACTAGTGTGTAAACTACCTTAAATTGGTGTCAATTTGTATTAATTTATTTGAATGAACTTTGATGATAAGTCTTGTATAGTTTATAAACTAGCTGAATATACATACCAAATAAAATATTGGCAATTGTGTTAGATGAAATATGAATTTTTATAAAAATATCAGTCATTTGGAGTTTCTATACGTTGTAGTTAAGCTATAAAATAACCCTAAAGACGTTTTTTAATTGCACAGCCACACAAAAAAGTGGTTTATGCTTTTTACCAAACCATCATATTCTATAGTATTTTTCGACGCTGAGCAGGACTCAGTTGTCAGAATTACGCATAACACCTCATAGAAATTCAGGAAAATGTAGTAGGAAAAAATCAAAACAATTTTTTCTTATGTATAACAGTATAAGCTAATGTAAATGGGCCTGATACATTCAAAACACCCATCAAAATTGAGCTAGCATGTCGCATATTTTTTCTAATCAGAAAAAACCTACAAGAAGTCATGATCTTCGAAAATCGCACGGATCTTAACCAAAACCGGTATAGGGTTTTTTTGGGTTGCTGATCATGAATCTGACGTCGGATTGGCAGAATTCAAAATGGAGGATCAAATATGGCCGATGCGAATTTAAAAAAAAACACGGATCTGAAAAAACCATTGTCGCCGATCGCGAATCTGACGTCGGATTGGCAAAATTCAAGATGGCGGATCCCATTTGGTCAACCTTAAGAACGGGGTGGGTGTTTCTGATGGGTGTTTGAGTTTATCAGGCCCACTTACATTAGGTTATAGTGTTAGGTTAGCTTAGGTTGCTGGGGTTTGGGATCTTGTTTGATCCTTTACTCGGAGGCATTGGGCTCACTGCGATACCCCTGTATTGTTGTACCAAACCCTCCTCTTATTTTTTCTATGCGTTAAAGCACACCAGTTCCCGATGTCGCTGATGTTGGCTTCTGCTGCTTCCTCGAGTCCCTCCAAAAAACCTTGCCCTAAAGTTTTAAAGCGTCGGTATTCCAGTGCCGGACAGTGGCACAGCAGGTGCTCTTTGGTTTCTTCATCTCCGCTTTGGTTTCTTCATCTCCGCATTCTCTGCAGTAGTCATCGTTGAATATTTTCCATCTCACGAGGTTTTCCCCCGTGGGACAGTTTCCAGTGACGACACCTACAATTATGCGTACTAGATTCTTTTTGCTATCTACCAGTGGCCATAGTCTTCGAGCTGTATTATAGTGTAAGACATAAGATTTTTTTCTATTTTTTCCTATTACAGTTTCCTGAATTTTTACGGATTTTCATCAGTTTTTGAGATTAGAAAAGAAAATGAGATGTGATAGCGCAATTCTGATAGCGGATTCGTGCTCAGCGTCGAAAAATAACGGATATGATGGTCTGGTAAAAAGCATAGACTACTTTTTTTGTGTGACTGTGTTATTACTAAGAAAGTTTTTTTCCTTAGGTGGAAAAGGTACTCAACGGGAGGGAAGTCAAACCAGACAAACTCGCGATCGTGGTATTCAGCCACAGTCGGATACTAGCACTATGACTACAAATACTTCTACTGCACCTAAGACTGTTACAGCATCTGTGGGAACTGAAAATAATATAGGATCAAAGGTATTGAATCATGTTACTTTCAACGTAATAATAAAAACATATGTATTGTAATAAAAAATAGACAGAAGAGATTTTAGTATTTTAAAATTATAAATTATTTCATAAAAAATAATTTGGTAGAAAACTTTACAATAAAAATAGGTTCATGTTCAAATTATTCAATAGTGATATATTATCAGATATTATATTTATTACATTTATTATAACTTCCAACTGTATGTTATGTTATTTAATATGTTTTGTGTGATGTATTATTTTATTAATGGTAAACTTTATTCAGAACCTCCCAATTAGTGGAATAAATTAGTGGTTTCAATTACACTTTATAATTTTTAGTTTACGATCATTCACAATGTCTAAAAAACACAATTAAAATTAATGAAGTATCCTAGCAACAGCTTGAGGTAGTCTGTTGTTTCCATAGAGAAAGCATAATATTTAGCGTATAAAACTTTGGCATAAAACAATAAACTTTTGATTTCTAACCAACATTTTTCTTGACGGGTGATAATGAAAGGCCAGACATTTCTGGCAAATTTTGAAGTATAATTAGTGGAAAAGTCAAAACCTTCATTCAGAACCTCACAATTAGTGGAATAAATTAATGGTTTCAATTACAGTTCATACTTTTTAGTTTACGATCATTCACAATGTGTAAAAAACACAATTAAAATTAATAAAATATCCTAGCAACAAATTGCGGTAGTCTGTTGTATCCATAAAGAAAGCCTAATATTTAGCTTATAAAACAATAAACTTTTGATTTCTAACCAAAATTTTTATTGACGGGTGATAATTAAAGGCCAAAATGACATTCCTCGCAAATTTTGAAGTATAATTAGTGGAAAAGTCAAAAGTTTGTTAACTTTTTCCACTAATTGAAAATTACCAGGGTTGGCATGATTTAAATCATGATTTAAATCGTGATTTAAATCAAGTGATTTTTTTAATTTTAATCATGTGATTTAAATCAAAAAATCAACTTTTTTAAAACTTTGCAATAAATCGAAAAATAACTGTAAAAGTTATAAAAATGTGTCCTAGAAAACTATACAAAATATTTCTATAACATATATACCCTATATCTATTAAATAAAATGTTACACTTGCTATTGTAACATTTAAATACGTTTAATAAATCGAAAAAAAAAAAATAAAACTATATAAAAAATGATTTGTATAACACATATTATACCTACTACATATCTATTCATCAATTAAAATGTTGGAGCGATTTTTGTGAGTAGTAATTTCGTGTGAATCCATGACTTCTAAAGGGCAGGGATTTATTTTGAAATTTATGTACAAGTGACAAATAAAATGATGTTCGAATACATTTCACCTCTAGTGCAGAAAAAGGTTCTTTTGATGCTATATCTTCAAAGTGTTGTCAGAAAATATGCTGTTTTATATCTTTTTATTTTACACATTGACAATAGATAATACTAATTTCATTCTCGACTTAAGACTATTTCCGAACAATAGTGTATTGTGTAAGGAATAAAAATTATACTTTTTTTGACGAGGTTGTATGTTTGACGGACTAGCGTAAACAGGGAGGCACAAAAGTACATTTTTACTCCGAGTAAAATATACTATATTTTTACAAATTAAACATTACAAATAATTTTTTAATCAAATCCAAACGTTGCAAATAATATAAAAAGTAATGCCTTGTAAGTAATCGAGTAACAATTTGTACACTCGTTGAAATTGACGCTTAATATCAGTTTAATAATATATTTTTTGTACTTTTGTGCTTAGGCGTAAAAGTGCTTTACTTTTATGTCTAGGCGTTGAAATTACAAAAATAATACACTTGTGGCATTTCAAAAAAAATCCATATGATCTGAAGCGAGCGACTTTTTTTGCAGAATATATTGGTGACCGATGTCGGGAAAATGACATGCGTTGTCAGTATTGCGGGCAGAGTTATGAAAATTTAGCCATTTAGGATAGGAATTTAATTGGAATTAAGTCCTAATTATTTGGAAATCCGATTTAAATAATGTTTTGTATTAAAATCAAAAAAATCTGATTTAAATAAAAAAAATCATGATTTTTTCCAACCCTGAAAATTACTACCACTAATTATGACGTTCTGAATGCTTACATTAAAATTAGGCGAACAAACTTCTACGGCTAATTGAAAATACTAATTTATTCAAATGTTCTGAATGAAGCTGTAATTTAAATATTTCAAAATTTTTTTCCAGGTTAGTCAGACCGAAACTCAATCACAGACAATCGAATCGCAAAAGTCGGAAAGCACTCAGGCAGGAGGAGCATTGCCACCGACAACAAAATCATCGTCTACGTCTACCAGGCCGCCTCTAAGAGAGAATATGCATCACGTTTTGACTAATACAAAATCAATAGATTATTCCGAAATTGATATGATCAGGGATGCGGAATACCGTGCGAGCCACCAACAAAACAACTTAAGCAATACACTTCAAAGCAAAAGAAATAAATCAAAGAGTACCGAAGATATGAATAGGTAAGGATTCCTACTTTTTTATATTCTTATTTTTTTATATCGAGTGTCAATGAAATCGTTCCATAGATCGCCGTTTTATATGTAATAAATTTGTTTGCAATAATTATTCCAATTACAAAACTAACATTTTCCATTGAAAACAATTATATACTGGGTACGTCTCAGAAGTCAGTCATCCTTATAACTTTTTTAATTTTTCAGTTAAAAAACGAGATTTCGTATGTTCTTATATGATATAAATTAGAATTTATTGATGTATTCAATGGTGTTCGGTCACTTCATGTGTCATCGGAAATGACTACAACTTTTGATTGAATTATTAATCATTTACTTTATTATGGCTGAATTTAAGTGCGACTCTTGTCAAAAAATCCAAAAGGACAGTTATAAGGTTCGCTGTAGTGGAGAGTGTCGAAGAAGTTTTTGTATGACCTGTACAGGACTGGATAAGGCAACAACAAAGGTACTATGTCAACAAAAGTACCACAACGTTAGATTTTTCTGCACTGTCTGCGATTCTCCTACATTAAAATATGTTCATGTTAGGATTACACAGCTTCAAGAATGCCAGGTCAAACCAGAAATCATCGAAGCACTAGGATACTGTTTAAAAAAAAATATTGACATTTTTCCAGTCATAACTGAAATGTATGACATGCTGAGTGACCACGATTCCAAGTGGAAAATTTTACTCAAGAAAATTGATGACATATCCAGGATATCAGATACCACACAAAAATCCTTATTTAAGTCGATAAATGAGATAAAGCAAGACACCTTCAATTTATCATCAATTTTAATGGACAACCATGATGGGTCTGTTAAAGTCCAAGTTCATGACCCATCTAAGGAAGAAATGGCGAAGGAAATGGCTGACCTTAGGCAGAGCGTTAAACAAATGTCGCTCACATTGGAAAAGCTTGTTACAAGGGATAAGACCTGTACAGATCATAATATGCAGCGGAAAAAATCCATTTCAACGCAGACGGGTCCTATAGATCACCAAAATAGTACAGCTTTTATAGATTCGCCAAAAAACTAGTTTCACCCGAAATAGTGTCATCATCGCAACCCTCCTAAGGCCGCCATAAGAGAAGACTGGAATTATGTGGTGGTGTCCAGAATTCCACCTCCTTACACAGCGAATCAACTTGCGCACTATGTTAAAGAAAAACTAGGAACCACCGATTTCATCAGATGCTTTCCAATGCTGAAAAATAAGGACAGTTCCCATTCCGATTTCAAAATTGGAGTGCAAAAGAGGTGTCACTTAGTGCAGCTTAAGGACGTAAATATGTGGCCGCCGGGAACCAAAATAGATTCAACCTCAACATCCTTAAACCAAGCTTCGTTAACTTCTTCGGCTGAACCTGCTCAAAATCTCAAAATAAACATCACTGAGAACTGCAAGCTACCTCACCTACTTGACCCACCACTGGCAACTATGCCAAGGGAGGTAAGAACTATTAAGATTGGGTCTGACAGGGAGGCTATAGCTCCTTGCAAGTCCCTGGCGATGGAAAATCCAGAAATTATTGTGCAGGGAAGTACGAAGAGAGATGGTTTGGTAGTTATGGACCCGATGACTCCACCTATAGTACGGCTGTCTCAGGACTCAGATGCGGTAAATGGACGTTACGTGTTGGCCAGGTTGAGGGACCCCTCCATTTTGAAATCTCGTAGGCTATTCCTTGCCTATCTTCACGACCAACCATCCAGTGTATGTTTTGAAGGACACACTAGTACCAGCATCAAATTGATGCTTGCATCAGAAGGGCTACCTAGTGACCTGGACTCCTTGCGTAAGTTGTACTACCGCTTCCACAACGCCTATGGTATTGGTTCAACTGAAGTTGATGCAGATCTTTCAGCTTTCAGGTCATTCTTTTCTGCGGAGAGCCTTCTACGACTTCAAAAGATTAGGGAAAGTCACGGCAAATATTATTCCAGTGGCTCCCGAAATAAGAATACAAATTTTTAGTTGAATTGACGCGAACAGAGGATCAAGCACCCTTTGAAAAATTAAGCGATAGCAAGCTTGGTCTATTCCTTATTAATATTCAGTCCTTAAGACATAAAACAGATGAATTATATCTTTTACTAGAAGAACTTGAATTTTCAGATATCATTGCCATAACTGAGCACTGGTTGAATTTTGATGAGCCTGTGTTTGTTAAAAATAATACCACAGTAGCCAGATTTGATAGAACAAATTTTTCTCATGGAGGTACTATGAAAATGTCTTTAAACAACGACTTTTCCGAGGTAACTAGGTACAATGATTTGTTATCTGAAAAAGTATTCGAATTTTCCATTGTCCACCATAATGCTTATGACCTTTACATTATTTGTATTTATAGAACACCTGACTCTGACGTGCAATTATTCTGTCATAATCTACTAAGCTTGCTTGAGTCCCTGCCCTTGAAAAGCAAACTAATTTTGTGTGGTGATCATAATATTGGCTTTCTTGGTGTATGTGCTGCTCAGGAGTTTCTTCGGTCCGTTTTTGATTCTTTTGGAATGGCCATGCATGTAGGCTCACCTACCAGAATATCCAATACCAGTTCTAGTACTATAGACTATGTTGTATCATCTTTTGATCCTAACTCCATCGCCTGCAACGTCTTTAGCTCGGGTCTCTCTGACCATGAAGCAGTTTTAACTGAATTTTCGATAAAGTCCAAAATCAAAAATGCCCCTCGTAAATTATGTCGTATTTTTTCAGAAAAGAATGCTCAAAAGTTCAGCCACTTATGTAAAACAACCAACTGGGATACTAGCTCTTATGATGTCGACACCGAATTTTCTATTTTCGTAAAAACATTAACCAGTCTAGCGTTCAAATCCTTTCCTCTTAGGCCTATAAAAAATAAGCATAATAAACATTGGACCACTAAAGGTCTACGCATATCTTCTAAAAACATGCGTTCATTATCTCACTTAAAAAAATTCGCAGACAGTCTCTTCTTCCACAATTACGTAAAACTATACAGAAAAATTTATCATAAGACTATAAGAGCCGCTAAGGGCCTTTATTATAATAGGAGAATAGTCAATTCTGGTAATGTTGCTAAGGAAACATGGTCTATTGTGAATGAGTTGAGAAACAAAGCTTCTTCGTCTAGCAATATCTCTACCTCGCCTGAGAACCTTAACGATTACTTTGTAAATGTAGCGAAAAACTTAACTAATACCATATGTCCTCCTCATGATCCACTTTCTTATCTCTCTAATGATAATGTAAACTTACACAGTTTCTTTTTTTCGCCCGTAGTTCTTGAAGAGCTTCGCAGTACAATTAATACCATCAAAAATAAATCCTCTTCTGGGACCGACGGGCTAACTTTAAAAATGTTTTCGAATCTGCCAGAAAGCACTCTGAATCACCTAACAACTTTAATAAACATGTCGTTCCAAAATGGTGTTTTTCCAAAATGTCTTAAGACGGCAATAATCATTCCTCTGCACAAAGGAGGAGACAAAGATGAAGCTTCTAACTATCGCCCAATTGCACTCCTTCCAACGCTATCTAAGATCATAGAAAGGTTGGTTAAAAGAAGGCTGGTATCTTTTCTGTTTAAGTACAAAATACTTACTGAATATCAATTTGGATTTCTAAGCAACAAGTCCACAAATGACGCTATGTTTTCCTTCCTTAATAAAGTTTATTCCAGCCTTAACAACCATCATTCTACAGCAACAATTTTCTGTGATTTTTCTAAGGCGTTCGATTGTGTAAGTCATAAGATCCTAATTAATAAACTGCAGCACTATGGGTTCAGGTGATCATCTCTCGAATGGTTTAAGTCGTATCTGAGCAACAGAAGTCAACTTGTGAGGGTGGATACCATGTTGTCTTCTAGCAAGCCAATAGAATGTGGAGTACCACAAGGCTCAGTACTAGGCCCTATTTTGTTTCTTCTTTTTATTAACGACATTGCTAACATAAACATCAGTGGCAAAATATGTCTTTTTGCGGACGACACTAGCTTCACTTGGAGCAACAAGGACATCACGGCACTTCATAGGATTATATCAAATGACTTAATCACCATTAAATCTTGGTGCGATTCGAACCTCTTGAGTCTCAACATTTCTAAAACTAAAGCTTTGTCGTATAAAAACTCGTTGCAGCCTTTTGTACTTAACAACACCACCATTGACGTCGTAAAATCTGTAAAATTTTTTAGGGCTTGTTGTGGACAATTCTCTGAAATGGGACAACATATCGAAGCTTTGTCGAAAAAATTGAGCTCTGCCTGTTTTGCATTAAGGTCTGTTTCTAAGGAGCTTAACTTGTCAGTGGCTAGAACTGTTTATTATGCACTTTTTCAGTCGCACCTCAGGTATGCCCTTCCATTCTGGGGTACGTGTTGTGCGACTCAATTTGACCGCATTTTCAAGCTCCAGAAGAGAGCTGTTCGATATTCACTAGGACTAAACAGCAGAACTCATTGCCGGGAAAAAAGTAATTTTTAGCCGACCATACCAATAGGTATGGTAGGCTATTAGGATCGGAAAAAAAAAGTTTTTTTAATTTCACTCAAAATGAGTTACTTGGGTCATAAATGACCTAAATACAAAATATTTTCATGGTGTCTGACTGTCTGTCTGTCCGTCTGTCCGGCTGTAACACGATAACTCAAAAACCGCTGAACAGATTTTAACCAAATTTGGCACAAAAATACTGTGGCACCCGAGAATCTGGCCATTAGTTTTTGGTGGGGGTGGGTGGTTGGTAAGGGGGTATGGGAGGGGGTTAAAAATTTTAAAAAATCGTAACTCCAAAATTACAGTAGCTAGCGAAACGCGGTTTTCAATTTAAGATTAGGAATAATATTTGCAACAAAATTTGTAATAACATCAAAATAAGTCAAAGTCGCAGTTTTTGATTAAAAAAAATTGGAAAAATTCCTTTACTTTGAAACTAAAAGAACTGCCTACCAACTTTTTATTAACATATTTTAGTATGGGCGGCTATACGTGCCTCCCGGCGCCATTTTTTTACTTTATTTGATAGAACATAACACTCTGAATAGAATGACATATCATATGTCAACTTATGACATTTTCGCATATGATTTATTTGAAATTATAACATGCGGTTTATAACGACAATTTGACTGGAAATACGAAATGTGTGGTATCGAATTATTTGTAAAAAGAATGCTTTTTCCAAATATGCTAATGAGACACTGAGATATGAATAAAAATACGATTTGGGGGCATCTTTTAACGAGCCAGGACAACACACGAAAAACATTAGACAATTGAATCTATTTTTCCAACACTGCTTAATTAAAAATTACTATTTTTAACACAGCCGTGGCACACTAGATTGAAATTTAAAATACGATTTTTTAAAGCAAAAATATCAAAAGTTGACATATAATATCTCATTCTATTCAGAACCTCATTTTCTATCGAATAAAGTAAAAATATACCTAGGGTGCCATTTAAAAATCAAAAGTTGTAGTAATTTCCGGTGAAATAGGAAGTGACGAAAAACAATTGAATCCGTCAATCGGTCCTAATTTATATGATATACTAATATACCAAATCTCGTTTTTTTATCTAAAAAAATAAAACAAAATTATAGAGGTGAGCCACTTTTGAGACGCACCCAGTATATCCCCGGAGTGTCTTTAAAAGAGAATTTGAGAAAAATTTATTTTTCATAAAAATGTTTGCTTCTTCTGAAATGAATTAATACGTAAAAAGAATAACACATTCACTATTACTTTCATAATTACTAAATCACTGATTTTGTAGGGAGAATGGAATAAGTTTGGATAGTAATACCCTCAAGCGCATGCTCAAACCGATGCCAAGTCAAGAAAGTCCAGTGACATCTCCCGAATTAGGCAGGCGACGCTATCATTATTACAATTCTCATCATCCATCGAGACAATCTAGCGGAAATGGACGACATTCAGAATCGGAAACTGGTCATCCTCATCCTAGATCTGCAATGGCAAAGTTTTCAGGATCCAGGTAAAGTTCCTTTTTTAATATACTAGGTTTGGACATGCAGGAAAGATAATACCTACAAACTAAATTATAATAATAATTTAAGCGATACAAACAAAACCGTGATTTCCAACTGAACCAGAAACTCTTCTACCGCAACCTTGCAACAGATTCCCAACAACAGTAAGGAAAACCCCCAGAGAAGGCGCATATGATGGAATATTGGAGTGAAATATGGTCTCAGAAAGAAAATCATAATAAGGATGCCTATTGGCTGAGAAACGAAGAACAGAGAAACCAAGGTATACCGGAAATGGAAAGAATAATAGTAACGGCAGAGTTGGTGAGAAAAGCTCTTACAAGGTTGGGCAACTGGAAGACCCCAGGGAATGATAAGATCCAAGCATACTGGTGGAAAAACTTTCCTGCTACCCACCCAATCTTGTCCAGGCAGTTCCAGCAAGCCCTTGTCGACCCTGAAAAGATGCCGCCCATCTTCACGCAAGGAGTAACTTACATGCTCCCCAAGAATCAGGAACCTGAAAATCCAAAGAATTTTATACCAATAACCTGCTTACCGGTAATCTATAAAATACTTACATCTATAATAAACGCCCAAATAACTCAACATCTAAAGAAAAACCAAATTCTAGCCATGAAATAAAATGAAAGCCGGGAGGGATCGCAGGGTAGTAGAGAGTGAACCGTAGTTGACGCCATCGTAACAAAACAGGCCATGGTTAAAAAAAGAAATATAGCAATGGTATGGATTGACTACCAGAAGGCGTTTGACTCCGTCCCCCATTCATGGTTAGTAAAAACATTAGAAATATATAAAATTAATACAGAAGTAATATACTTCCTCCGGCAAACCATGGATAGATAGAGAACGCAACCAGCGGTGAACCTGAATGGTGTTTCATACCTTACTGACACCTTAAAAATCCGGAGAGGCATTTTCCAGGGGGGATAGCCTGTGCCCAATATGGTTTTGCTTGGCACTTAACCCACTTAGCTCTATGCTAAAGACTGGAAACTACGGGTACCAGATAACGAAAAACCCAAGTGTTCGACTAACGCACTTGTTCTACGTAGACGACTTGAAGCTCTACACTACAAATAGGGACCAACTACACAGCCTGCTAGAACTAGTGTCATGTTTTAGCGAGGATATTAAAATGAAATTTGGTATCAGTAAGTGCGCATACGTGAACGTGATAAAAGGAAAAATCATAGAATCCGAAGGCATCGACTTGAGGGGAGGACAACACATCGCAGGACTCGAACTAGGAGCAAAGTACAAATATCTTGGTGTGCAACAGTCCGCTATTATAGACCACACTGAAATGAAAAAGGCCGTCGAATCATCTTTTCTCCAACGCGTGACCAAAATACTTAAAACGGAATTATACTCTGGGGCAAAAGTCACGGCAATTAATTCTTGGGCAATACCAACTATATCCCACACATTTGGTATATTGAAATGGAGCAAAACAAACCTGGAAAGCATTGACAGGAAAGTAAGGTGCTTCTAACAAAATTCAGGTCCCACCACCCACAAGATTCGACTGCCAGATTATACCTTCCGCGGGCAAATGGAGGACGAGGTTTACAAAATCTAGTCGTACAACACCACCAACAGACCACCAACCTCAGAGACTACTTTCTCCGTACGATCAGCCATTGCATCGAGCGCTAATACAGGTTGACGACGGATATTCACAGCTTAAACTTGCAGATAAGAATCCCCCACCAATCCCAGTTACAATCAGCCAATTCGAGGAAGAATGGAAAGCGAAACCATTACATGGACGGTATGCAGCCAACCTCAACGGAGGTGAGGTCGATAAGAAGCTTTCAACGTCTTATCTTTCTGATGGCCAGTTAATGTTCGAAACTGAAGGATTCATAAACGCCATACAAGGACAGGTAATACCTACGAGAAACCGGAGAAAATTCATCCTAAAAGAGGACTTACCATCTGATAAGTGTCGACTATGCCAGACCACTACTGAATCTATTCAACACCTAACTGCTGGTTGCACATATCTTGCCCCGAGGGACTACCTAAACAGGCACAACCAAGTTGCAGGCGTAATACATCAGGAACTCTGTGTACAAATGGGGCTCCTTACTGCAAAAGTCCCATACTACAAATACCAGCCTCAGACGGTACTAGAAAACGAATCGTGGAAGATCCTATGGGACCTAGCTATAACAACGGATAGGACGGTGAGTCACAATCGACCAGACATCTTAGTTTTTGATAAGAAGCAAAGAAAGGCGCAAGTAATAGATATACAAATTCCAGCAGACGAAAATGTAGGAAAATCAAGAATGGAGAAAGTCCTGAAATACCAAGAACTCGCGGATGAGATAAAGAGAATGTATCAGTTGGAAAAGGTGGAAATATATCCTATAATAATATCATGTAATGGGTTAGTAGATAAGTACTTACCCCGCAATCTTAAGGCTATCAGCATACGCAACCCGAAGCAAATTGTAGCAATCTCACAAAAGCTGTCATACTGGCAACCTGTCACACCGTGAGACGTATACTGGCAACAGATGGTCGCGTTGGTCTATAAAGACCCCGCGAACATTGGCCGTACCAACAAAAGAGCTGTGAAAAAAAAAAAAAAAAAAAAATGCATAACAGCAGCGGAACAGCAATAGCGGAAATGCAGCGATTGGAGGCTGAAACAGGACAAAGTGATTCAGCACCAATGATAGAAATGATAGAAACAGAAGAAAGGCAGAGTAACATTTCAGCATCAATGATAGAAACTAACGAGCAATATGAAAATACAAAGCTGGTATTCGAATCTATCCTCAAACAATACGAGGGAATACCAATACACAACAGACCATTATTTCCAAAATAGAAACTTCAAAGAGAGTAAAAGAGCTAATAAAAATATCAAACGCCTTAATAAGAACCCAACAGGCAGAGTGTAATCCCTTGAAGGGATAATATGAAATAACATATGTAGCAGCAGCAACAGTACCAGAAATTAGTGGAAAAAAGTTAGTTAGTAGATATACAGATCACCGAAACACACCTAGACAACCGGACGCAAAACTACCACCATGGCGGGAGAGACTGGAAAGGAATATAAATTCTATACGAAGAAGCCCTCCCGGGACCAATAGCGTCAAAAAGAGAGCTGAAAAAATTCTCTCGACATTAGTCCTTCCATAAGTAAAAATAAAAATCAGAATTAAGATAGTATATTGAGCTATTAAAACAAAAAGTTGCAGTACTTGGAGCAAGGATCAAAAGATAGAATGAACACAACAAACGGAAACACCAACTGTTAAAAATAGCTATGACAAAGTGGAGTATCAAACTAATAGTAAAACATCAAACTGAAAGCTATGAAACAACTGAAATTAAAATAAGACGAGTTATATACCAGGGGGACAGCCTAAGCCCAATATAATTAATGTATGAAATGGATATAAAATGAATAGCCAGACGAACTACCGGATGTCACACTTGATGTACATGGACGACCTAAAACTATACGCTAGTAATCACCATCAGTTATACAGCATGCTTGAATCAGTCAGTAGGTTTAGCGAGAAAATCAAAATATAATTTGGACTGAGTAAATGTGCTGCAGCTCATTACAAAAAAGGAAAATTAAAAGACACACCGAATATAAAGCTAAGGAACGAAGTAGAAATCAACACTCTCAAAGAACCAGCTTACAAATATCTAGGCATGTTGCAGACCGGTCAAATTAAAGACAAGACAATGAGAGATATTACTAAAGAAAAATGTTTGAAACGTGTAAAAGCAGTTGTTCGAACATACTTACCTGGAAAGGAAAATATTATGACAATTAATAGCTGAGGGCAGTGCTGAAGTGGAGCGATAACGAATTGAAAGAAATGGATACAACTACTCGTTAAATATTAAGGAAGAACCGAATGCATAATCCTATTGCATCTACTGCAAGATTAATACTTACCTCGAACAAATGGGGGCAGAGGACTTTCAAACCTAGAAGATATTTGCAGAAAACAAGTAAGCAGTTTACAAAAATATTTTAACAACAAACAAACAACTTTACACCGAGCAATAAGAACCGCTAACACAGGATATTCAGTCAAAAACCGAGCTAGAAATGAAATCACTGAAATATTACCACTGAGTGTAGGAGACATAGTGCAGGAAGTAAAGGGCAAGGTTTATATCCGCTATTCAGGATCAGGTGATAACTACAAGATCACACAGAAAGTTTGTTTTGAAAGAAAACATAACGGACAGATGTAGAATGTGTAACCAATTTTCAGAATCCATACAACATATAAGTTCTGGTTGTCCCACGTTAACACCAACAAGTTATACAGAAAGGCATAATAACATAGCAAAAATAACCAATTTATAACTGTCACTAATCCTTGGTTTACAATCTGTGCAAACGAAGTATTTTAATTATACTCCAGAACCTGTAATCGAAAGCAGCAGCCATAAACTATATTGGGATACACTTATTTTAACAGATAAAACAGTATTACATAATATTACATATCATATAATAAACCCGATATACTCTGGATAAACAAGGATAAGAAAGAATGCTTCATAACTGATGTAGCCGTACCATTAGACCAGTATCTTCAAAAAAACCGCAACAGAAAAAATACAGAAGTATCAAGGTCTTGCATATGAATTAAAGAGAATATACCAGCTCAATAAAGCCATGGTTTTACCTTTTGTAATCTCTGCCAATGGACTTATTCATAGAGATTTTAGAAAGAATACCGAATTATTGAAATTAAACCCAAAGCTTACCAATGAGTGCTTAAAAGCAGCCATATTGGGAACAGTGAGAATTGTCCGAAAAGTGCTTAATATTTAAAAGACCATAAGCTAGAGCAGTTCTGGTCAAGAAACCAAACCAACCGAGTTATTCGTGAATTAAAAAAAAACAAAACAAAACGACAAATGCATAAAACCAGCTATTAGTTTTATAATCGTCTAAAGATTGTCTGGACTCACTCTGTCGACTGAAAGCAGAACTACGGTACAGTATTCTCGGCTGCGCTGTAACCGATCAGCGCGCAGCGGCGCAGAGGTAAACTAAACCTTGGAATTCTCGGACAAGCTGGCGGTAACGCCAGCTACATCTCGGACAGGTTTTGTGCCACGAAATTTCTCATAAGGTTTCGCATCTTCTTATATCTTCAATCAACGCCCATACTCACTATTCGCTAATGCGGTTCGTCATTGCGGCAATTTGGAGGAATATTGGTTTTTGGACGGACCATCCAAAGAAATATCACAAACGGAATGGACGACTTTCCAAACGAACTAACGAATCGCATCGACGAACCGCATCAGCGAATTGTGAGTACGGAATTTAACTACAACTATTTTTTTGACTTTATGTCATAAATTTAATTAAGATGGGAAAAAAAACTTTATACAAAAGTTGTTTAGGAAATTGCATGCCTTCCGATTATGACAAAATAGTGTATGGTAGTGGAAAAATAGTAGTAATGAATCCGACTTTAATGTGACATACTTGCAAGTACAAGCGACGCGACGGGCGAAAAACCGTATTTTTAATACGAGCGAAATATCATTTCAATTTCATTTAATCGAGCGATCACTCGGTTATTGAAATCGCTTGAAACTCGAGTACTCGATTGTGGAAATTAATCGGTTTTTTACATCACTACTATTGGTGTGGTCTCAGTCTGTTTTTCTTGGATTCCTGTGAGTTTCTGTTGGAGAATGGTTCCTCCAAATTTGAATTTGATAATTCTGTCTGATTTCAATCTGATGAATTCAGTCTGATAAGGAAGGTTCCATTGAGACCCTCCTCCACTTTCACGTAACTAATTATATTAGCGCTGCCTAGTCTGACAGGTGAAGCGCGGCACTCAAAAACTAACGAAATCGACTGGCTGTCTAATGAATATGATGTGCTTTAACTGTGCATTATCTACACTGAAATTGACGGCCATTACAAATTTAATTTAATATTTTAGTTACCCTTTCAGATCTTCACACGAAATAGGAAGAAGTTATCCGGGAAAGGGCGGTTTATATTTAGATCTGGAACGTGGAGTAACTGGAGACACGTCTCCTCCTTCTGACAATATTATTTTCGATAATCAGTGTTACGCCACGACACCTAGTTCCAGTAACGGGAATTCTGATCCGGAACAAACAAATCAGCATTACGGAAGACGTCATTTCCGTCACCAGGTAATCAAACCATAGATTGATAAATTATTAGAAGAATAAAAATATTTTCAAAAAATGTTCGAACAAAAACGGAACTGCTCGACCGGGAGAATTTTGTTCACAATGGTTAATAGGGTGTCCGTTATTTACAAAGTTGATCATTTCTCTCACGACGCCCTCTAAATTTTTAGTTTATCGTCTAAAAAATTAACAGATCATTATCTTCTTCTTCTAGTGCAGATCCATTAATGGATGTTTGCGATAACATTTTCCATTGCTTCTCTGTTCCGGGCGGTGTGTATTAACGACTGAATATCGAGTAGCCCTGTCCACTGTCTAATATTCCTCAGCCAAGACATTTTCTTCCTTCCGATACCCCTCCGACCTTCGATCTTGTCTTCGATAAACAAATTGATATTTGGGGTTTTGCATTATGTGCCCCAGGTATGCGGTTTTTTTTCTTTTTAATCAATTCAAATAATTCACGCTCTTTGTCAACACGTCTGAGAACTTCCTCATTTGTCAATTTAGCCGTCCAAGGTATCTTCAGGATTCTGCGATATAGCCACATCTCAAAAGCCTCCAATGTGTTGATGGTAGCTGCTTTCAATGTCCAACCTTCCACACCATAAAGAAGCACCGACCACACATAACACTTTACGACTTAATCTAAGGCTAAGGTCAAAATCAGAACAGACAAGTACTTTTCGAAACCTCAAGAATGACTGCCGAGCTTGTTCGATGCGACATTTAATTTCCTTGTCTGATGTCCAATCTTCTGAGAGCCAGATGCCCAAGTACTTAAATTGATCTACTCTTTCTATGGCCCTTGAGTTAAAAATGTTAGAATGGAATTTATAAACACATCTGGGTTTTTGGCTATAATCATAAATTTGGTTTTCTTGATGTTGATGTTTAAACCCATTGCTTTGCTCTGTTCTCCTACCTTGTTGACCAGTTGTTGTAGGTCGTGTATATTGTCTGCAATTAAGACCGTATCGTCGGCATAGCGGATATTATTAATCCACACTCCATTAACTTTGACTCCCATTTCCACGTCCTCCAGATCCTCTTGGAAAATAGCTGGAAATAGCTTCTGAGTATAAATTAAATAGGAGTGGAGATAGCACGCAACCCTGTCGCACCCCCCTTCTAACTTGTATGGGATTGCATATTACATCATATATACATGGTATTGGACAATTTTATTTGTGCTGTTTGGTTCCAGTATAACTTCTCAATGCATTGGATGTCTTTATGATCTATATCAAGTCTTTTCAGGAGCTGCATTAATTTGTGGCGCTGTACGCGATCGAATGCCCTTTCGTAGTCTATGAAACACAGGCACACATCCTTTCTCTGATCGTAGCAGTTCTGGACAAGCACCTGTGTTGCAACTATCGCTTCCCTGGTGCCTAATCCTTCTCTGAACCCCATTTGCGAATCGCTTATGTCCCTTTCACATTTTTTGTAAATTCTCTGGTGTATTATTTTCAGAAATATTTTTAGGGTATGGCTCATCAGGCTGATAAGTCTGTGATCTTCACACTTTCTGACATTGGTCTTCTCAAACCATTATAAACTTTTAATATTAAAAAATTATTAATAAACATTTATTTATATATTTATTTATTTCTAGTCGGAACACAAACAGGACAAGTCCCAAAATTAGTGTCCACAGCTTACATATAATAACTAAATACCAATAACAATAGTAATAACCAATTTTAAATTTATAATACTATTTTTCTTAAAATTACAATTTTTTCTATATATATACACAAACTATGTCAATATCGTGAGTAAGAGTCGATTTAGACACTTGCCAAGTCGGTAGGCCATTGACTATGATATGGCCGAGGACCGCGGTTCGGATTCCGCCTAAACAAAGTAGACCCCGTCCAGATTAGTCCTGGCAGCCAAAAAGGAGACGTTAACTTCAAATCTTTGCTAAAAGCAAAGAAGTACTTAAAAAGTATAGCTGATTTATTTTAATAAACATTATTTAGTTGGATTTTCATATTTCTTCTTATACTCGCTTACAATCTGAACCATATATTTTTTTTTACCGAGAATTTACCGAGTGATTAACTTTAACCGTGAATAACTTTTGAAGGAGTAGGTTTATCGAAAAATTGTAAGAGTCCTTTTTTGTAGAGCGTCCAATTCTGTAGAATATTTGTTTGTCATGGTTGTGAGAGAACAAGATCGAGAGAAAACAATTATTTGCAAAAAGTGGCAAATTCCCATGTAATTTAATGGGAAATGAATCGTCTTTGGGGCAAGGTTTATTGTGAATATTAAGGGGTTATTATGGTCCGTTATTTTTTAGACAATAAACTAAAAATTTAGAGGGCGTCATGAAAGAAATGATCAACTTTGTAAATATCGGACACCCTAATGGTTAATTTCAGTTTTACTTGTTCTATACCGTGTTTTATACATTTAAAGTACCTATTGGTGCAAAATATAAACTTCTTTATTTAGAAAAATATCTTTATTGGAATCTATTAAAAAGAAGAAATTTTTAACAATTAAGAGTGAACTTAAGCCTTAACTAAACAAAAATTATTTCTAACTTTTTTATCATCCTCGACAGCTACAATACCTACTCAACAGGCTAATGTGGTTTGTTCAGTATGTATTTTATATAGCAAAGGGGTAAAATCGTCTGTGTCTATTACTTTATATCAGATTGTTATCACTATCCATATATTCGATCCTATACACTTTCTGAATCAAGTTAGAGCTCTTCTGAGTTTGTATCCAGATTATTTAGAATAATAAGCGCAGTTGAATTCTCCATTCACCGGCACGAAAAACGGTCACCTTAAAATTTTGATTTAATTTAAAGTTTTATATATTTTTTTTTATTGGACCGATTTTGATGATTTTTAAGCAATGTGTAGCTAAATTATTTAGACTTTTTAGTATCTCTTTCCAAATTAAAAATGAAACTTCCAACCTGTCGCAAGAAAGATGGGAAAGAAAGGAATGAATCAAAAAATCATGCCATCAACTATGTGGTGCATCTTTTTTAAATAGTTTCTTTTTTGGTTCATCTCTATATTCGTTCTAGGTATATTTTTTGGAGATATTCGCATTTGAGGAAGGCATTAACATTTTTTCATAGTTTTTACATCAAAACTATTATTTTGCTCTTTGAATAAGAAGACTAAGGAAGGAGCATATCAAAAATCTTAGGTCCACCGCGATGGGACTCAAATATGGCCGACTTAAATTCCGGTTTATCAGTGCCGTGTCAATTTTATTTAAAAAATGTAAAACTATGATGTAGGGTAGACGTGGGGTAGACTCAATAATTTTTTACTTATTTTACGTTGTGAATAAATGTTGGTAGTTATTAAAATTGTTATAAAAACATATTATTATAATAAAAATAGATAAGTTTTAATAATTATTTATTAACACAAACATCCGATACGCTACTGAAGCAGGTAAGTCAAATTGACGTATCTAAATACTTTGACATCTAATCTTTGACAAGTAGTAAATAAAAGCAATAATGCAAGAAAAAATATATAATTAGTTAATTTAAGTGAATTTCATAAATGATCGGTTTACCACACGTATGTATATTATATAGTCACTTACTAGCGAAAAGTTGTTCCATTATTTCACTCGATTTTTGCCGAGATCTACTGCACGCTACACAACCAACTATTTTAGAGTCTTTTTCGTTAAATCGCGATAGTGTCACTGTTAATTTAAGTTCTGCCACAATTTCCATCTAGATTTATTACCTTTATACAACTATCAGTAGTAGAATAAATAATAAATAACATAAAATGACCTCCGTAAAGACTGACAAATCCACAAAATTTCAAATCAAATTCAAATGTGTCAAATGAATCGTCAAACAAAACTGTCAAGGATCCGAACTACCCTAACCACCCTAGAGTCCTTTTTCCGCCCACCATGCATGAATACATGGATAGCATTATGCTCCTTCCTTAGTCTTCTTATTCAAAGATTTTGCCTGTGAAAGAGTGTTTATGATTTATGTAATGTCACTGTCTTATGACTGTCTTTGAAAGATTATATTATTGTTTTCTGTAGGGCTGTTACTCTAGCAGAGATGGTTTTAAGTACAAAAGTTGATCTCTACCTACTTCTGAACTTAACCCCCCCCCCCCCTCCAATCACTACTCACTACTAGAGTCAACGTCAATAAACAATAATAAGTAAGCAGTGACTTAAATAATAACAAACACTATTTTATAAATGAAGAGCACACGGGAAAAATGATGAGTGTTCAAAAACTATAAATGTTCAGGAGAGCGTTTTTAAATCAAATCACTGTTTCTATGTGACCGTTATCGATATTCCCGTTTATTTAGGTAGCAAAAGGTGTAACTATTTAAGACGAAAAATATTATGTATTCAAATCAGATTAGCAAAAAAATCTACAATACAGATCAAGCTATTGAACTGAATAAAAAAATCTATCGAGAAAACATGATAAATTGATTTTTCAATTTTTTTGTTTTGTTAACATATTATTTGAGAGGGTACCTATTTCAAACACTCACCAAATTATCAATTTTATGTTTCCCTTCATATAATTGACAAATGAGAAGACTATTCTTTTGCTTATACCTGTGAAAGAGTGTTTAATTTTTATTAACTTTTGTAATTTTTAATTTAGAAAGAGACTAAAAAGTCAAATAAGGTAGCTATAAATTGCTTAAAAGATCATCAAAAACGGCCCGCTAGAACAAAATATATTACAGTTTAAAATACATCAAAATTTTAAGGTCCGTTAAAGACTGTTTTGAATGGTGAAGACTGGTGAGTGTAAAATTGTATGGAATAAAAGGCTAGGTATGTTTTTAATCTATAAAATCTAAAGGAATGTTAAGATTTTTATTACAGCTATAAAATATCTAAAGTTTATACAATAATCAAGTTTTATTCACTGTAAATCACCATTTCTAGATGTATTATTCTTAGACCAAATAGGGATGTATATTTAAAAATGAAAAAAATAGTTTGAAATATACCACGTGACTACAAAATCGCTGAATGGCCCTTTTTTTTTGTTGCATAAATTCTAAATATGAATTTAAGTAAAAATGATACCTAGTTTATTTTCTTCCACCAATTGTAGAGAAACTGATGACGACCAAATCGTGGTCGAAATGTTTTTGTAACTAAATTATTGGAAAAATACCGTATGATCGAGAAAAAACGGCTTCAGCGATGGCTACGGAATGAAGATCGCTGTCATTTTATATGTAAATTTATATGGGAAATGTCATTGATGTTCATTTCCCAGCCAACTGGACGCCGTTTTTTTTTCGATCATACGGTATAAAATATGATATACCTATAATATCTATTATTTAAACTGAACTGAATTCTCAAGAATCTCTGCATAATTTATCCATTACTTTTACGATAAATATGATTATGCATAATAAAACGCAATGAATAGCGACTATTTAGTTTCCACCAGGTATATTTTTGATTAGACGAATATTACAATAATAGAAGATTAAGTTACATATTATATTGCATAAAATTGACATTTTCTTTTTAGAACTCCAATATCACTCCAACACCGGGTTCTCCTACCAGTAGGCTCCTATTAGAATACGAAATGCATCTTAGAAACACATTAGCCAAAGGGATGGATGCTGAAAGTTATAGCCTTCATACGTTTGAGGCTCTACTCACACAAAGTATGGAAAATTTAGGTACGAATGATTTCAAAGAAAACAAATATTTAATATCAACTAGTTGTTTATCGCAGATTTTAGTTGTATACATAGTAGCCTAAGAGCCAGTGAAAGGCTACATGTACGTATTTGACCAGACCTAGGGTTTTGTACAGTGATACCTCTTTACTTAATGTACATGACATGGGGACTCACTAAGCCCAACGTGGTGGAGGCGGCGGGCGCCAAGGTAAAAAAGGTATCGATTTTTGGTAAATTTTAAATGTATTTGACCACGTCTGCCGTTTTGCAATGGGAAAATATATTATTATTATTATCGGAAAACAACAATGGCAGATCATTATCGCGCGTTTAACATTGCTGCAGACAGTTTTGAAAGTGGCGAGAAAAATAAAAATTTGAGAGTAATTGACCAGATCTGCCATTGGTATATTTTATTTATTAGAGTCTTATAAACTTGTGTTAATCACAGCAGATGTCTTTATTGAGTACACACTTCAGCAGACAACAAAATCTGAACTACTATCCGGTCAGATGTATGCATAGACTAATATAGCTTTAATGATAATGATTGGTATTGGTTTACAAAATTCTCATTCGAATATTTGGATACTCAATGGAACTGGAAATAACATATATTGACGTCACAAAAATTTATAAAGAGCTTGGTGAATTGTTAGCTAAAATCTTAACAGACTTTCATGCGTTCACAGGATGTGATTTTAATCCGACTTTCTTTAATAAAGGGAAGAAAAGACTTTTTACGTTACTGAAAAAAAATTGTTGAATTTCAACAAGCATTTGGGATGCTTGGCGAAGAAAATTTGACAGAGGACCAGTTACAACAGGTATTTAACAGCAAATAGAAATTTACTTGCCAGTTTTACAATGCAAAAAAATCAATTGACGTTGATGATAAAATAATTAAGGTACCAACTTTTCGACAGCAATTATAAAGCTTCCGACGTCAACTAAAACTTCTGCAAAAATTTTTAAATTTATTAATTAATTAATTTTTAATTTTGATGCGAGCTCAATACCACCATGTTAGAATGAGCTTTACCAGCAACTTCTAAGAACACATTATATATCAACAATTTGAAAGAATGCTCACAAAAAGCAAACCTACGACATTGGACCCATTAGAGTATGGTTGGATTGAGCAAGACGAGAAATTTGTGTTCAAATGGTTCGAAGGAGATCAACTTCCAACCCTGTAAGTGACTTAATTCATATCAATACCCAAGTCCCTGGTAAATTCATAATAATCAATTCTTTATCGACTATGTTCGGATCAATTTACAAATTACTTTTATTTCATAATTTACGTTTTATTTTTACAGATTCCGATTCAATGGACGATGAAGACGAGTCACACCATAAAAAACATGATTTCGATGACGATGAATACAAATTCAAGTTGATAAAAAAGACATTTATTTTATAATGCATCCATGATTCACGTTTTGAAGTCATTTTTTTAATTTTATCTTAAATATATAAAAAGAAGAAAATCAAATAAATATTTGAATGATTATTTGCTGATCGTTATACCTAGATATTTGAAATTTTTTCAAAATATATTTATTTTTTTATCATCAGCCTTATATGTTTTAGTATATTGTTGACAAAATTAAATATTAATTTCTATAAATACAGTGATAGAGTAAATCATATTGATGTGAAACAGGGAACGTCATAAATATACATCTAATAGCAGTTCAGATTTTGTTGTCTGCTGAAGTGTGTACTCAAAGACATCTGCTGTGATTATCATAAGTTTATAAGATACTTCAACATCCTTAAACCAAGCTTCGTTAACTTCTTCGGCTGAACCTGCTCAAAATCTCAAAATAAATATCATTGAGAACCGCAAGCTACCTCACCTACTTGACCCACCACTGGCAACTATTCCAAGGGATGTAAGAAATATTAAGATTGGTTCTGACAGGGAAGCTATAGCTGCTTGCAAGTCCCTGGCGATGGAAAATCCAGAAATTATTGTGCAGGGAAGTACGAAGAGAGATGGTTTGGTAGTTATGGACCCTATGACTCCACCTATAGTACGGCTGTCTCAGGACTCAGATGCGGTAAATGGACGTTACGTGTTGGCAAGGTTGAGAAACCCCTCCATTTTGAAATCTCTTAGGCTATTCCATGCCTATCTTCACGACTAACCATCCAGAGTGTGTTTTGAAGGACACACTAGTACCAGCATCAAATTGATGCTTGCATCAGAAGGGCTACCTAGTGACCTGGACTCTTTGCGTAAGTTGTACTACCGCTTCCACAACGCCTATGGTATTGGTTCAACTGAAGTTGATGCAGATCTTTTAGCTTTCAGGTCATTCTTTTCTGCGGAGAGCCTTCTACGACTTCATAAGATTAGGGAAAGTCATGGCAAATATTATTCCAGTGGCTCCCCAAATAAGAGTAAAAATTTTTAGTTGAATTGACGCGAACAGTGGATCAAGCACCCTCTGAAAAATTAAGCGATAGCAAGCTTGGTCTATTCCTTATTAATATTCAGTCCTTAAGACATAAAACAGATGAATTATATCTTTTACTACAAGAACTTGAATTTCCAGATATCATTGCCATAACTGAGCACTGGTTAAATTTTGATGAGCCTGTGTTTGTTAAAAATTATACCACAGTGGCCGGATTTAATAGAACAAATTTTTCTCATGGAGGTACTATGATAATGTCTTTAAACAACGACTTTTCCGAGGTAACTAGGTACAATGATTTGATATCTGAAAAAGTATTCGAATTTTCCATTGTCCACCATAATGCTTATGACCTTTACATTATTTGTATTTATAGAACACCTGACTCTGATGTGCAATTATTCTGTCATAATCTACTAAGCTTGCTTGAGTTCCTGCCCTTAAAAAGCAAATTAATTTTGTGTGGTGATCTTAATATTGACTTTCTTAGTGTATGTGCTGCTCAGGAGTTTCTTCAGTCCATTTTTGATTCTTTTGGAATAGCCATGCATGTAGGCTCACCTACCAGAATATTCAATACCAGTTCTAGTACTATAGACTATGATGTGTCATCTTTTGATCCGAACTCCATCGCCTGCAACGTCTTTAGCTCGGGTCTCTCTGATTATGAAGCAGTTTTAACTGAATTTTCGATGGAGTTCAAAATCAAAAATGCCCCTCGTAAATTATGTCGTAGAAGTCAACTTGTGAGGGTGGATACCACGTTGTCTTCTAGCAAGCCAATAGAATGTGGAGTACCATAAGGCTCAGTACTAGGCCCTATTTTGTTTCTTCTTTTTATTAACGACATTGCTAACATAAACATCAGTGGCAAAATATGTCTTTTTGCGGACGACACTAGCTTCACTTGGAGCAACAAGGACATCACGGCACTTCATAGGATTGTATCAAATGACTTAATCACCATTAAATCTTGGTGCGATTCGAACCTCCTGAGTCTCAACATTTCTAAAACTAAAGCTTTGTCGTATAAAAACTCGTTACTTAACAACACCACCATTGACATCGTCAAATCTGTAAAATTCTTAGGGCTTGTTGTGGAAAATTCTCTGAAATGGGACATACATATCGAAGCTTTGTCGAAAAAATTGAGCTCTGCCTGTTTTGCATCAAGGTCTGTTTCTAAGGAGCTTAACTTGTCAGTGGCTAGAACTGTTTATTATGCACTTTTTAAGTCGCATCTCAGGTATGCCCTTCCATTCTGGGGTACGTCAGATATATCAATGGCAGATCTGGTCAATTACTTTCAATTTTTTTTTCAAAACTTTCAAAACTGTCTGCAGCAATGTTAAACGCGCGATAATGGTCTGCTATTGTTGTTTTCCGATAATAATAATAATATTTTTTCAAATTGCAAAACGGCAGACGTGGTCAAATACATTTAAAATTCACCAAAAATCGATACCATTTTTACCTTGGCGCCCGCCGCGTCCGCCACGTTGGGCTTAGTGAGTCCCCATGTCGTTTACAGTAAGTATAGGGCACTCACTGTACAAAACCCTAGATCTGGTCAAATACATACAGGTAGTCTTTCACTGGATCTTAGACTATAGTGTTCTCACAACACACGCGCATTCATTTAAGTGTAATTTAGGATCTAATTAGATCTGAATATTTTAAGTGGACGATATTTCGAGATGTACCTTCCTAAAATATTTCCAATTTCCGGAACTACTTATTTACATCGAAGTGAATGACAATTTAAAATAAATTAATTTATCTAATTAAAACGGGTTGTAACTGGCAAAAAAATGACGCTACCCAAACGGTTGTTTCTGAAAAAAAGCAAGGTATTAAACTGCATTCACCGGGGGAAGAAAGCAAACGTAACATTTCCTATACATTGGCACTTATTAAAAGTAACATTTTGAATATAAAAAAAGAAATATAATATGGAGTTTTGGGGTGGAAGTATACCAGGTATCAGGTACGAAATAAAAAGAAATGTATAGAAGTAGATGTATTTAAAGAGAAAAGTCAGTAACAAATTAAAGAGAATAAACTTATAAATATAGTATTGGAACGATGGCGAACATACTGCGAAAAATTGTACAAAGAAAAGCATCTTCAGCCTAGTTGCTCTTTTCACAGTGATATATTTAATGAAGAAACAGATATACTAAAATCGGAAATTGAAGCAGCAATAAAAAACCTAAAACATCATATAGCCCCGGTACCAGATCAAATCACAGCCGAAATGCTCCAAGCGTCTGGAGATTTTGGTGTAGACATTTTGTACAGGTTATGTAATATGATATGGCATACTCAACAATGGCCATCAGATTGGACCGATTGTTCTATAATAGCTATTTCCAAAAAGGATCTCCAGACCAAACCAAAACAACTTCCTTACTATGGCACTAATTTCACATGCCAGTAAGATTCTTCTTCGACTACTTATCGAAAAGCTTTTGACAAAATCAAATGGTCAAAAGTATGGATGGTTCTTAAAGATATGGGCGTGCCTCTTCATTTGTTTTCATTGATTAGGAATCTCTATATAAATACCAAAAGTAGAATCACCATTAATGGCGTTATACATACAGGGTGGTCCGAATTGTATTCCGGAAACTTCGGCAGCATATTCTGCAGATAAAAATAAATAAAAAAGTTCGTATAAATGTAGGTCCTAAAATGCTTAGTTTCAGAGATACAGGGTGTAAAAATTTTATTTTTATTTCGAATTTTTCTAAATAATTTCTGAAGTAACGTCAATATTTGGATGAAAATTGGTGTCTGGGAGTTTTTTGACATGAGAAATTTGATTTTGATGTCACTATGACTCCTACTAGTAGAGGGCGCCACCTACATGTGTTTTAACTGTTTTGAAGCGTAATAACTTTTTGTTCGTATCGCGGCAAGTGACAAAACCATAGTTTTGAGAAAAATGGCAAAAACTTTGTGATGTTGTCCTTCACTAATAAGAATATATACATTCGGTTTTATTGTTCAACACTAATTGGATATACTATATTTAGTTATTTAGAGGTATTTTTAGACAATAGAGCAAGTTTCGTATAAAAAAAATGTTGGTTAATTCTTTCTTGCTTCGTTTTCTGCATTGAATACAGTAAGAAGTTGAAGTTAAAAGGCGGTAAACGGCAAAAAACTGTTCAAATGCCGCCTTTTAACTGCAAAACCTTTGACGTACCGCTATTTAGAATCAAGTAAAATATGTTAAGGTTTTAACTTAAAAAAGATAAGTTTTAAGTAACATCTATTTATAAACACACTTTAATTTTTAAATTAATAGTCATGTTGCAAATTTTAAGTAGTTTTATGATAACAATTATATAGTAAAAGGAATAATTTTAGGTATAACAGGGTAGTCCATAATGGATTGTTCTGTATATATTCCCATGCAGTTTTTGTTTGCCTGCGGCCATTTTATAAACTAGAGAGTTGTTTTTGTTGTTTTACTTAGAGATATAACAAAAATGGTTAATTGAGAAGTGCCACCTCAAAAATTTTTGCATCCGGCGCTAGTTTGGTGTCTGCTTTTTGTTGTTTTAAGCAAGAGGATACGCCGATGCCCCCTCTTTTAAAACCCAAAACAAATTTGCACTTCTGATCGATATACTAGAGTCTCCAAGTTAAAAAAATAATAGCAAGGTTTTCATTTTTATAATATATATATATATATATATATATATATATATATATATATATATATATATATATATATATATATATATATATATATATATATATATATATATATATATATATATATATATATATATATATATATATATATTTTTCCTGGCTTTAAATTACGCTTAAAATAAAAAAAGTTGAATGGATGAGTGAAAAATCTTTTCTTCAATAAATACTATAAATAATTTATTTATTGCCAATTAATTCGAAATATGAATATGAAACAATTAAACATTAAGATAACTCATAAATATATTTGTAAATATACTGATGTACCATTTAAAAGAAAAACTTATGGAGGCACTATAATAGTACTTATTTAATTAATGATACTTAATTTAATTAATAATACTTAATTATTGATAAATTTTACTAATTCGGACTATTTTTTTTTATTTCAGGGGTAAAATTTATATTTTGTTAACACATGACAAATTTAGCTACAAATTCATCATATAAATATGTATTGAATAATAAATAATATATAATAATCTAAAATACCTATAAAAATAGTTTAAAAGCTTACCTTTGCACAAAAGCCAATCACTATTATTATAATAAATTATTATTAATCACTTTATATAAGCCGAAAAATGCGATGCGTGCCTGGATTCGCAATCGACTAATTTATCTGTCGCGAAATATACCGCCTTCTTACTATCAAATTTACGTCCGTGTCAAAGTCCGCGTGGTGATTTTGACCGTTAAAAAAGGGCGCAATAGTCACATACCGCTTTTTTACTACAAGTTTCGTGACGTATTTCACGATCTTATTTAACGAATAGGGTGGTATTAAACAATGCCGCCTTATAACTTCAAGTTTTATGACGTATTTGATATCCATCTTTTAGGAATAGAGCAATTACTGTCTAATGCCGCCTTTTTACTACATAATATGCATCATTACGTCATCGTTTTTTAAATATAAATGGCATATTTGCAAGAATGCCGCCTTTTAACTTAAATATTTACACTTGCCGCCTTTTTACTTCCAAAATGGTGACGTTATGTCACTTGCCGCTTTTTTCAAATTTCAAAAATCGTAGAAAAAAAAATATTTTTCAAAAATATTTTTGAATATTTAGATAGGGGTCACATTAGTCTAAAAATGCAAAAATCTCGAAATTGAAAAAAATTCACTTGCTGCCTTTTAACTCGTTGAGTAGATAATTATTTCACTGAAATAATATATTTGAAAATTTTAATTCTTTTTAAAATTAATCATAAATTTTTCTGTAAAAAATGACGATAAAACAGTTTTTGTTGAACTTTTGACACAAAAATATTTCAAATTTATGATTTCAGTTTAATAACTATTTAGTCAACATGTTTAATTAATGTCAATGATGACAGGTATTAATAATTTCGATTCCAAATATCTCGAAAACCATTACTCGTAGCGATTTTTACCAAGAGACCTTTTTTACGTAAAAAACGCCGTAAATGCATATTTTTTTACTCAGTAGTTTTATACAGGTACGGACGAAGAGTTATTACACTTCATATCGGTTAAAAAGTATGTAGGTGGCGCCCTCTACTAGTAGGAACCATATTTACATTAAAATCAAATTTCTCCTGTCAAAAAACTTCCAGACACCAATTTTCATTCAAATATTGACTTTACTTCAGAAATTATTTGGAAAAAATTGAAATAAAAATGAAACTTCTACACCCTGTATCTCCGAAACTAAGCATTTTAGGACATACATTTATACAAACTTTTTTACTTATTTTTATCTGCAGAATATGCTGCCGAAGTTTCCGGAATACAGTTCGGACCACCCTGTGTATACTTATAATAATAAATGCAGGAAGTTTCTTGAAGTTGGAAAGTAAGAAATATGTTTTTTTGTATGTGGTATTTTGTTTACTACATATCTTTATGTGTTTTGTATTAGCAGACACCCTAAAATATTTTTGAAATAAAATAACTCGATAACGGAAAACATAATATATTCCGTTTTATAGAGTTTTTTAATAATATTTTGAAATAATCAATATAGTCACTAAAATTTAAAAAAAAATATATATTAATTTTCTGCTTTACATTCCAATTGTATCAACTTATTTCTTTGTAAAATAAGATAAACTCTTGAAATTAAAATGACAGACAGATATTCATCTTCTATAACTGTCAAGAATTTTGTCGTTTGAATGTTGATATCAAAATTTTAATTTTCCCTGTGCATTAATTCGTACCGAATCGAAAATGCGTAACATGTAACATTAAAAACTACATTTTTTTGATCTGCGAACGTTTTAAACTTCATGGGTATCAGAGCTGCAACAAATTAGATTAAAAAAACTTATAATAAGTCTTAAGTCATTTCCAAAATCAAAATGATTTAAATCTTAAGTCCATTCTTACATGAAGTTTAGGTAATTTAAGTCTTTGACTAATTATTTGATTTCAAGTTAAGTCATTTTTGTATAGACCTACATCAATATAATGTAATTTAAGTTGTTTTTATAACTTAAGTCTATATTTTTTATTTAAATCATGATGATCGGCGAGTTAAGTTGGCAAAATGACAATCGAGGTAATCGGGAATCGGAAATAAGTGATCGGAAATCAGCAAATCGGGGTAATTTGCTGATTTCCTTATATTACCTATATTTAATTTTTTGTAGGTAAAAATGAGACTAATAGCTCATAAAATAAAACGGTTAATTTTCAGAATACAAATACAAAAATATTTTTTTGTTAAATTTAATCGATTTTGTAGTACCTTATAATGTATCCACTGCAGTATAGATGTCATCGAATAGATGTCCATTAAAAAGTGGTGATATGTTTTTATCACTATGTAATATTTCGATGGCAAAAGTTAGGGGCTGGAAAATTTTAAGGCACTCTTCAATATATTCGAGATCAATTTCTTTCGTTCGTCTTTCGGGCTACAAAACGGAGTCGGGGATTAACTTGAAAGACAGCAGTCTTTTCTAAAAAAAATAAATCTTTTTCTATTTTGGAATTAAGATTTAAATCAAAAATCACTTTGAAAAAGACTTAAATTTTAAGTTTTAAGTCAGCTTTCGAAAAATGACTTAACTCATTAAAATGATTCTAATAAAAAAAGACTTCTGTAAGCTTGCGGCTGTGATGGAATTGAACGAATGAATGTTCTACACTAACCATTATCAGTTCATACTCGACAACGATTAGTGATCCATATAACCGAAACATTGTATAGTTTCAAAATTAGACACTGCCTTCTGTTTTAAGTCATTTGTTTGTCGTTGTTTTTGTGTCATTTGAAAAAGATATTTTTTGTCGTAGTTTTCCTAGAATTAATAACAAGTGAAAAATTAAGTTAATTTCTTGTTAATTTGCTAAGAATATACTACTTGTGTTAAAGATTAATAAGTAGAATAATTAGAAATAGTAATAAAAAAGATCAATTTAAATTCAATTTATTTAAATGCAGTTTGTCTTTTCTGCGATACATTTATTATTATATATTCCTTGGCCTTCAATAATAATATATTATATATTTTATTTCAGAATTTGCTGAAAGTCTTCCCGGCTCTACACAAAGGAGTCCATATCCTTCCAGAAAAAGTAAGATAATAGTTAATGCAGCAAAAAGAACCATACAATACGAAAAAATACAATATATAAAAATCCTATAACTTCCTAATTGGAGCCGAAGTACGTCTAAGAGAATACGCCATTGGGTCTTGTTTTTTTATTTTAATTGTGAAAAAGGTGTTTTTAAAGTTTTGTATTGTGGATTGTCATTAAGTCCCTACGATATTCTTTATTAATTATTTAAAAGCAAAATATGAAAGCACTGGGCTACCACTGATGTCACAAAGCGATGAGTTTTCGCATGCACATGGAAGACACTTTCGGCCGATTAAGCAGTCCTTATTACTTCATTTAAGATCTGGATTCTCTCTCTTAGTTTTGCTTTATGAATCACCCTATTAGAGGTATTGTCATATTGGCAGTGGCTTGACAGTAAAATGACAATAACAGTTTTGCGGGCTGTTAGGTCGTGGTTAGGAGTAGCTGGCTCGATAGCGTCTTAAACTACTCTTAACCACGGAGCCCGCAAAAACGTTATCATTTTACTGCCAATGACTGCGAAGAAGAATGTCTCTATATCTACCATATAATTATAGTTGACTGTCTTAAGACTGATGCCAACGATTGCCAGCGGTTTCCAATAAAATGTATATTTAATTCCAAAGTAAAACACCGCTCAGATAATCCTCAATGTGTTTACATGATCTACAAATGCTCTAAATGGTCTAGATCCCCCCTGTTCTGGGCGAATATGTTACCTATGACAGGCAGCAGTCTTGTCAACGGAATATTTGTAAGCAGTGGCGGATACAGAGGGGGGGCCCATGGTGACCGCCCCCCCCCCCCCTAAGATCTGTAAATTGGGTTAAATCTTAAGCTTTTCGGTTAAAAATGGCGCCCTAAAAAGCACATTTTACATTACTTTTTATTTTGGGCCCCCCCTAAAATAAAATCCTGTTAATACTAATACTTGTTTGTAAGTATTTTATTTAAAATATTTAGAAGTGTGATATCCCTCCAGTTGTTGCGCAGATCTAGGAAGCCATTTTCTGACAACTTCATTATTAAGACATCTTTCCCATCATCTGAAATTGATTTCTAATTCCAGATTTGTTTCATGGTTGAATGTAATGTTGTCGCATTTTAAGAGCTATTTTTTTTTAAATCTTCTAGTGAGCATTTTATTCCTTTAAGGGAAATGTGTTCTAGTAACGTCGTTGTTACGTTACCAGGCCCATCTTGTGCCTGATATGAAGCATTAAAACGCAGATAGGTAACTCTTCCCTAATGTTCCCAAAACGTGGCAAAACTTCGCTCACTGGGCTGGGTGTTGTGTAAACCAGCAGCTTTATTATTCTTTAGTGTTAAAATAGCATTCTCAATTTCCTGTTTTGAAGACGATGTGGTGTCAATACGTACCGGTCGCATTAGATTACCATCAGGGAGTTTTTGATTCTCGGTACGGCTGTTAATATGGTTTTTAAAATGCTCTCCCGATCGTTTTAGTTGTTGTTTGTCTGTTGTTAGTGACCATGACGCCAAATGGCTTTTTCGGTTTTCGCAGTAAAATTAATAATTCATAGACTTTTGTATTTTCGGGAGCTAGGTTTGACTTGTTTCTTAAGACTGAAATATTCTTACTCAAGTTGTTGTTTTGCGTTCCGTATTTATGCATTGTTGATTTTTATTTTAATAGCCTTTCTAGCTATTACAAGGTCCCATATGTATCTGAAGATATTCACTGTTTATATCTTTTCTCCACCGTTCTTAGGCATTGTTCAGCTATATCCTACAGCTATAGTGCTGCTTATATAAGGTCCATTGAGACGAATTGGATTTGTCATGTGGAGTGTTATCTACTGCCCCATTGAGATTAATTGGTCAAGTTTTTGTAAATGTCTAGCTGTTTCCACCTTCTAAGAAAATCTTTAGACGGTGCTGTTGTTGTCTGTCCTAATATTATTTCATTCAGTCTCTTTTGCTTAAAATTATTATTTGTTAAACCATTTTTTTCTTACGTTTAATTTTAATTCGCCTAATAGAAGATGGTGATCTGAAGCTGCCTCTGCTCTCCTTCTGTTACGTACATCAAGTAGCGAGCTTTGCCATGATTTTGAAATAATAATTTAGTAGATTCGGTTTTGTGTTATATGATCTGGCAAAACCCAAATCTCACTTGCAGAATATTATTTCAAATCTTAAGCACTATAAGATTCTATGTAAAAAAAAAGAAAATATTAAAGATACTTGGAGGTGGTATCGAATTCTTCAATCTATTTTTAAATTAAGTATCTCCTGTTGATGTTACAACAGGGGTAAAAATTACCTAAGAGCTTGCTTATTGCAGGTTAAAGCATTATTTTAATTTTATTTTAAATAGCTAGTAGAAAATATTATGTTTCTGTATAGGATTAATTTAATGTCAACGAGCTTATTACCTTTATATTATTAGTTTCCTTGAATACTGAAACAAGTGACATAAAAATACCTGTAGTAATAACGTTAAAATAAAACACGTAAATCTCCATTCGATTTTAGGACCAGCTTCCAGTGCTTCTATGAATAAATCGTCGACACTTCCATTTAATCACCGTATGGCTTTAAGAGAACGTGATCGCGACAGAGATGGATACTATAGCGATAGAAACGAATTGCTCAGGGAAAGAGAAAAGGAGAGAGAAAGAGAACGTGGATATATGAGTGATCATAATTCAAGGTATGTTTTTCGAAAATACCATATAATACTGTCGAATATGAACAGTATCAAAATGAATAATCATAAATCCGATTTTAGTTTACATGAAATAAAGGTATATACGAGTATATCTTCGGCCAAGATAAATATAAGCCTTTTAATACTTTAATAAACAACATATCTTATAAAAATCAAACATAATAAAATACTTTTGAAATATAATAATAAAATGCTTTCAAAAACGTCTGCCATGACTTTGGAAGCGCGATAATCGTCTGCCATTGCTATTTTTTATATAATACCGGTTATATATTGTAAAATTTATAAACGGCAGCTTTTATAAAATAGTTTTAAAGTTGGTGAACTATTTAAGGGTCCACCGGTTATCGATCTCATGGTTGGCAGGTATGGAACGACGGATCGGCGTAACGATTTCTAGCAATTATAATGGCTGAAATTTTTGATAGATGAATTTTCGAAAAATTTCAGCCAATAGAATTGCTAAATATCGATACGCCTATACGCCGTTCCGCTTTTTCTAGGATGGTGTGGATGCACCCTCACTGGACAAAATTTCAGGTTTTATGCCAGTGGCTCTTAGACTAAGAGTATAGGTACTAGGATTATCAAAACCGGAGATCTTTTTCAGATCCTAAAATGTCAGCACCATGCCACAAGTCTGTACTTTCGGTACTAGCTAATTTTTGGTCAATGGTACAATTCGTCAATGAGCAAGCCAGGCATGGTTTTCTAAAGCAAAATTAATATAAAAAAATAAAAGTAATAGTAATCAATCATGAGAAAGTTAACGTCAACACAAGCGAAGAAAAAAAATCAAATATGGACCGACTTAACTAAATAAAAAAAAATTACATTTTTAAATTAAAAATGCCAATGTCTATAAAAACATTATACATATACATAATCAATTTAATCTGGAAGCGATAACTTGTTTACTGTCTTCAAACAATGCTTAATTGCCGATCAATTTAATTATTGTTATTTTTTTCCTACTAGATTAACTCGGTTGGTTTTCTTACTAGATTAACTAACGTGTAGCGCCTTATCCTTTGATTCCTGCACTATGTCGCCTACACTCAGTGGTGACCTGTCAGTGATTTCATTTCTAGCTAGGTTTAAGACTGAATATCCTGTGTCAGCGGTTCTTATTGCTCGATGTAAAGTTGTTTCTTTGTTGTTAAAATATTTTTGTAAACAGTCTACTTGTTTTCTGCAAATATCTTCTAGGTTTGTAAGTCCCCTACCCTCATTTGTTCGAGGTGAGTATAATCTTGCAATGGATGCAATAGGATGATGCATTCGATTCTTCGTTAATATTTTACGAAAAATATTTTTTTGTTGTTATCTATTATATCATTTACCAATTTATTTACTTTATTATAATATGTATAAATAATGGGGTCAATTTTCGAATTTCCTTAGGGACTTTATTAGTAGATTAGTTACCAAACTGCAAACTACCGAAGTACCAAAGTATATATGTATCGAAGTATCGAACTAACCAACTACCGAACTACCGGACTACGAACTACCCAAGTACCGAACTACCCTTAATTTATTGCCTGTCTTATTCTGATGTATAAGTTATATAATTGTGAAGTTTCATTAAAACCCATTCAGTTGCTTTTGCGTGAAAGAGTAGAATTTTTTTTTAGAATTTAGAGTGAGTGGGAGGGGGGTTAATCACTTCGACCTTACAGATCCATTGTGTCCCCCTTTCTTGAATCATAACTCATCATACAGTCCCAGGGCTTTGACAAAAGCCAGTATCTGGGACGGTTTTATAGAGGGTAGTTCTCCATCTCCAATATCAGTCGTACCAAAATTCATGGCACGAATGGTTGTCGTCTCGGCACTCTCAGTGATGAGGTGTACTGGTGTTTCCCCATCTTCCCCACAGAATCTGCATTCGCCGTTTCTTCTTAGTTTCAATCTACTGAGGTGTTCATTGAGGAGACAGTGTCCTGTTAAAAACCCCGTGACAATCCGAAGATTGTTCTTACTCAGACCCAGGAAGATCTGTGATTTTTCTTGATCATAAGCCCTCAGAAACTTCTTCGAAGATTTCCATTCCAGGTTGCGGATGGAATCTTCCAAGTTCTTGAGTTCCGCCTTGAGTTGGTTACCACTTGGAAAGCAGAACGGTTCTGGTCCAGTTAGTGGAGTGTTCGCTCCTTTCCTAGCTAGATTATTTGCTTTTTCATTGCCTTCTATCCCTTGGTGAGCAGGCACCCAGTGTAGGAGGACTTTGTTTTCTTTGCCTAATTTATTCAGCTTCTCTAAGCATTCTTTGACCAATTTCGAATCGATTGATACTGAGTTGATCGCCTTTAACGCTGCTTGACTATCAGATAAGATGGCTATTTCTTGTGTCCGATAGTTCCTATCTAAGATAAGTTGTACGCATCTCTCGATAGCGTAGATTTCTGCCTGTAGGATACTAGGGCCCATTGGTTCGGAGTAATTAGCTCTCGGCCCAAACACTCCGATCCCTGTTCCCGTATTGGATTTGGAAGCATCAGTATACCAAGTTATGGTATGGTCTTTTAACTGATGGGCAAGCGTTTCGCTCTTCCAATCCTTCTTATTGCTCAATACTACATTGACATGTTTGTCAAAGTTGTACGTTCTTGGCATATCGTCCACTGGGAGTTGCAGGAGTGGTACTTCCTTTTTGAGGGTGTTCCAAGCCCCTGATCTGACAATTCTCCCAGTACTAATTCCGTTAGTGACCATTCTAATCATTGTCGCATTGGCATATCTACCAATGACAATGTGCAGTGGTGTTAGATCTAGAATGACCTCCATTGCTGCTGTTGGACAGGTTCTCATGGCTCCTGTGATGCAAACACATGCTAGTCTCTGGACATTGCATAGGTTTAGCCTTGCCGTCCGTTGCACTAGTTTTGTGTACCAGGCAACTGCTCCATAAGTAATCATGGGTCTTACTATCATGGTATACATCCAGCGCAAAATGTTAGGGGAGCAGCCCCATCTATTTCCGGCCAGTCTTCTGCATATCATGAGAGCCTTTATGGCTTTGCTGGTAGTGTTCTTAATATGCCTGTTCCACAGGAGTTTACTGTCCAGGGTTATTCCCAGGTATTTAACTTCCTGTGTTGGCAGTATTTCCTTTCCATCTAGTTGGATTCTTTTCAAGTTTTTCAGACTTCGCCTTCTGGTGAATGGCACTATCGCGGTTTTGTCTGAGTTGATACTCAGCCCGACAGTCCTACACCATCTCTCAGTGATACGGAGTCCTCTTTGGATAATATCACACAAGGTGCCTTCATGTTTCCCCCGAGCGATCATGACTATGTCATCTGCATACCCAATGCAGTGTATTCCCGCTAGAGTTAATTCATCTAGTAGTTCATCCACCACCAAGCTCCACAGCAAAGGGGAGGTTACTCCACCTTGTGGAGTTCCTTGCGTTGTTTTAACAGCTACAGTTTTGGTGCCCATCTGAGCCTCTGCTGTTCGTGTTGACAGCATTTCCCAAAACCAGCGAATAATAGTTCTGTTCACCCCTCTTGTTTCTAGAGATCGCCTGACCACCTTATGTGGTATATTGTCAAACGCCCCCGCAATATCCAAGAAGGCACAAATTGCTGTTTCTTTGCTATCCAGACTTGTCTGTATTAGCTCCGTTAATTGGTACAGAGCAGTTTCTGTGGATCTGCCCGTTCTATATGCATGCTGACTATCATGCAGTGGTTTAACCTTTAGATGATTTTCTCCAATATGGTTGTCAACTACTTTCTCCAGCGTTTTTAGTATGAACGATGTGAGACAAATAGGCCTAAATGACTTGGGATTTGTCCAGTCAGTTTTGCCTATTTTGGGTATGAAGATTACTTTTGCTCTTCTCCATGTGGTTGGTATATATCCCATCGCTAGACTGCTTCTTGTAATGCTTAGTAGATGGTGAGTAGCTATTTGCTGACCCTCCTTTAGAAGGGCAGGAAAGATCCCATCCACTCCTGCTGCTTTATAGGGCTGAAAGGTGTCGATCGCCCATTTCAGCTTTTGTTCTGTTATTACTAGCTTGGCCACTTCCCAATCTTCCCTGCAAGGATTGTGGGGTTCAGTGGGAGCTACATAAGTATCAATAGGTATGCTACCTGGAAAGTGTGTATAAAGTAGGAGATTTGCTCTCTCTTCCTCTCCCTCCGTGTAGCTTCCGTCAGATTTCTTAAGTGCCATGTTGGGGATAGATCCACTCTTGGTCATAGCTTTGTGTAATCTAGCTGCATCAGGAGTAGAAGTGATGTTTTCGCAAAAGGATCTAAAGTCAGACCGCTTTGCCCTTCTTATCTCCTTCTTATACTCAGTTAATTTCTCGCTGTAGAGCTGCCATTCGCCACTGGATTTAGTTCTATTAAAGAGTCGTCGGACGTCCGATCTAAGTTTGGCCAACTTCTTGTTCCACTAGGGCTTGTTGTTACTTTTTTGTATGCCTTTACTTGCGGGGCAACTAGATTCATATGCATCCAATATTGCACCGCTGACTTCCCTTGCGTACCATTCTAGATGCAGATGGTTTCTGGCCCTACTTGCATCTATACGGTTTAGGTTGTCTACGAGATTGGTGTTATAAGAGTAACGTGCGTGAAAGAGTAACAAAGATTCATATACAGGGGGTTTCAAAAAACATGCGCCATCTCTTGTGGGGAGATTTTTCACGTAAAAATAAGATTTATTTTTTATATAAACATAGGTCCGATTCTGCTTTGTTTCGTAGCTACAAGGTGTTATAGTCTTAATATTTTATCGATTTGTTATAATTTTCTCTCAAGTACTTTTAGTGATTCGAATGAAATTTTGAGGGTAAAAGTTAGTATAAGTGCTACATATTTTAGTTAGTGGGGGCGGAGAGCTCTGAAAATCATAAAAATATTTCAGTTCTGGCGGCGAACTTGAATCTTTGGATATGGATAGTACATATACCAAGCATCAAAAAACGCCTCAGACCCCAAAATTTTGGGACCCCCCACCAC